AGTGCTTGAGAACAGTAAGTGAAATTCCAGTGCTTGCTGCGTTATTCTGGGATAAACTTTGAGATATTTTGTCAAAAGGTATTTGATGGTTTCTCCATCTTTTCAGTATATTCAGTATATTTTCAGTCATATTTGGTTGAAGAATCATTTTTAATTTTCTTTTTAATTTTCAAAGCATGCTCTTGTAGTGTTTCTGGCAGCACATATATGTCAACTTGAAAAGGATTTATCACCAATCTATAAGTGTTATTATCGCTCGAGTTAGGGAGGTGATGTTTCAGTTCATCAATGAGATACTGCGAATGATTTGGTATTTAATTCTTAGTATCATTATCCCTAAAAACCTTAGTGCGTTTCTTCTAGGATTCCAAATAATTTGGGAAAGAAATAACTGCAAGCTAAAATTTTAAGGGGTATCAGAAACCCCTATACGGCATTGTTAAATTGGCCATTTTCGATGTACCTTTTCTCAAAATCTGCTGTAGATACAAGCTTGAAACTTTTTCTGTAATTAAAGTATACCTATCTGATTATACTGAAATGAGCTTTTGAAACATTTTGAATTTTAGAGTAAATTGCAGGATATTTTGTTAGGCATAGTAAAATTTAGCACTTTTCCCACACAAAAAAATTTTTAATTTTTTTTCTAAGTTTATTACAAAAAGTTCATTTCAGTAAATATTAGAGAACCTGATAAAATAAGCCATAAAAAGTTTAGATACCTGTGAGCAGTAATTCCTGAGAAAAGATACATCGAGTATAAAAAAGTCAGCTTTTGAGGGGAAAAAAGCGTTTTTATGTAAAAATCCTCATTGATCAAAGCAGTCGATGACAAATTAAAACTAGATTTTTTTACAGTTCTAATTTTCATAGAGATTAAAGAATGGTATTTTTAGAAAGATAAAAGTGTAGAGAATTTGAAAATTCAAAAATCCGAAATCATAATTTTTTGAAGATTTGGGGGTTCCAACTCCCCTTAAGTTCTCAAAGTTACAGCTTATCAGAATACCATTCCTATGATAAATTATACAGCTTTTACCATGACAGTTCATATTTGCAAAAGAATTCAAAGATTGCTACCATTACAGGAATTGTTGTCGAAGCAGTCGTTAACTCTATAAAACAGCATCTCATACTTATTTGTTTCGTTTTGCACGAAAACTAACAGTTGACAACATTTTACCACATCTGTATTCGCGTCCAACTCTACTGCGGAAAAATTTGACTCTTTCATACATGCACTAACTAAACTTTCATGTCGTCGGTCATATCATCAATGCGACGTTTCACAAAGCGTTGTCAGAAAGTGGTACTTGTGAAAGTTTTTGTTTACTTTCGAGTTCACGAACAATTGCTTTTTAGACAAAGTTTGACGAGAGTATCTGCAATAATATGATATTTCTTGGCCTTTGTAATGAGTAGCAATAACTTATACGAACCTTCGATCACTTTTTCAGATGACTGAGCAAAGAATCTGGTATTATCCAATTTCATATGTTTCAAACTTGCATATTTCGCAGAAAAAAACTCTTTCGACATAACAAGCTATGTTTTTGTCGACAAATGTCGCGCCAGACAAGAAGGCCTAATCGGCTCATTGCTCAATATTTCGTAACAAATAACACATTCTAGCTTATCGACCCCATCTTTTCGTATAGCAACAAAACCGTATTTACTATAATCATCATTGCATTCGCTCTTTTTTGCCTATTTCATGACGAAGTAAAGAAAATAACCTAACGAGTCCACAGTTGTTTTTTTCCGCATCAAAAGTACATGTAACTTAACTGCTTGTGTGATCAGTACTGAGTAAATCGTGCTCTAAATTAAGACTCAAGCGCAGCGTAGTTAAGTGACTACATGACATGCGTGCGCGGGCGGCGGATTACCGTTCGCCCTGCCAACACACCCTATAGAAGTCGTCACAGCTACCTTCGGTTGCGCACCCCTATTTTGAAACTCATTTGTCTATATGGACTCCAGCAAATCACATGCAAGAGGTCTAGAAAGTTACCTCACCTTTTAAAGATAAAACGTGCCTTTGAACTTAGCATTTCATTTTATTCTGAAAACACATTAATTAAAACCGGCATCCCCCAGGGAAGCAATTTTGGGCCTATTCTCTATCTTATATATGTTAAGGACTTCCCTATGATTGAAAATGCAAACTGTATCACTGCCTGCTACGCGGACGACACCGCCATTCTTTCTAGTTCACTTAATCCGCGACATGCCATGATCAGAATACAAAACCACACACACGAGATAGAGGAATGGTGTCGCAAATGGGGGACGTCGATTAATGCCACAAAATCTAAATTATTACTGATGGGACGGCATAGAAGAAAAAACACTGATGCAGATCTGACCCTCTTTAATGAAACGGTGCCCAAAGTCAGAGAGGCTACATACTTGGGAGTTCGTTTTTTAACGGCTCGCTTACATACATGGGGTCCTCACATTTCCATGACCATCGGGAAAGCCATAGGAGTCTCTAGGAAGCTCCGAAACTTTCTTGACGCCTCTTCACCACTGGATCTTGCTCGCAAGAAGCACATTTACACATCAATATTAAGACCCATCCTTACATATGCCTTCCCTGCATGGTGCTCTGTTCCCCCTTCCGTATTAAATAAATTGCAGGTTTTCCAAAACAACTACTTACGAAAACTCACAGGAGCACCCTTGTTCGTTCGCAATGAACAGCTACACAGAGACCTTAAACTCCAAAATCTGGCGTTATTCATGAATAAATTAAATAATAATTTTTTCAAGAAAGCCATCACCAACGCAGAGGTAAATTATTCTGACAATTTTTAGTCCGAGCTCCTAGAAATTGACATCAATTTAAGGCCCAATGTAACCCACATTTATCGGAATCCTCCATAAATATACTCTTAACTTCTGCCAGCCAATTTTTGAAGTTTCAAAGTATGACTTCTTCATTTACACCGGCCTGGGCCACATCTACACAATCTTCCTGCAGTCCCTTATCAAGGTATTCCTGCGAAGCACTGTATGTTATGTCTCCTCTAACCGGGGTTATTTGAGGTGCCAGTAATAGCGGGATATAATTCCTGCTGAAACAGGCATATCAAAAGTATCAAAGTATTTCATAAGTACAGCCTATCGGCAATATGAGTTTTTAAAACGCCAAACTAATCATTAAGGTTATACATAAATTTATGATTGAACATGTCATCAGATTGGACTGCAGTCATTTGTTATTTTGTCAATCAGTATATTGTTCTTTGAAATTAGGGGTAGAATTTCAATTTACATGGCAGGAACATCTGGATAATGGAGTTAATGTTCGGGGACAATGAAAGATTAAAGTCGAGGTAAGTGACTGGCCTAGCCCATTGCAACATGGTTTCGTATAATTCTAAGAATGCCAGTGATTCTCTTCTTAGTGAATATAATTGCAGTGGATTTTCCCACTTTAATTTACATTTCCAGTTGACAAGCCAAGTTTGTAAGGAATGAATGAGGTTTTGCAGTGCATGTAATACTGAACGAAGAAAAACATTTTGTGAGAGGATCGCAGAATCATCAACATGAAGTGTTAGAGGGGTGTTGATGTTTGTGAGATGTCGTTCACCTATAAATTTAATAGTGTAGGCGTCAATTAGCCGCTTTGTAGCATGATGGCTAGAACGTTTGAGATGTTGTCTGAAAATCCCAAGGCGAGTACTATGTGAATAAAGCCTTTCATACAGACCCTATCAAAACTTTGGCTATATCAAGGAAAGGTCCAATACTGAGCTTCTTTTACTGTCACTTCTTTACTTTTACTTCATTTACTTCAAAACCCTTTGATTTAAAAAAGGCACTCAGCGCAAACGCTTTTAACGCACAAAAACTTATTAGAAAGGCAAATAACATCTTTTTCGCAGCAGAACAAATGCTGGACACCACGTCATTTTGGCTTCTGAGTAGATTACAGAAAATAATATAATATTAAAGCTATTAGGGATGATTTAAGTGTTGTTACACCCGAACTTCAAATGCAAGAAAGCATAGATCTAGTTTTATCATCATAGATTTAGTGTTAAATTAAGTTCAAATAATTTACATACAATACATTTTGATATTTAAACAAGCCATAAGCTGTGTTTGACTGTTAGTCATAAAAACAATTGCAGGACTTCTTGTTGAATTTCTCCATTGACATCTGCCTAGTGATTGAAACTCTAGCAACCGCTTGTTATTAACATTCCAAAGTGCAGGATGTTTAGCTGCGATTAGATTTGCCATAGGATCTCCAGGTTGGAACTTATCACTGAGTTTGTGTACGTGAGGTTTCCTATTATATGAGTTTTTTGAAGTTATATTAGCAATGACATTAAAGTTTTTATGGCTCAACCTAAAATTATTTTAAGTATTTGAGTATCCAAGTTTATTCTAGTAAACGCACTTTGAATTTACAAAAAAAAAAAAAAAAAAAAAAAAAAAAAAAAAAAATTGGAGCAGTGAAGTATTCATCAACTACGTAATATTCATATTTTTAGAGTTCCTGTGGATCTAAATTTCAGAAAATAGGATAAATCAAGGAATATTCTGGAGAATAAACTCATAAATAAAGCTTTTATCGTTTCTTTTGGAAGATGAGAAAAAATAGTTATTTCCGAAAATAAATTATTGTTTCACATAGCTCCTATATGAGAATATAAAGTTTCCTTTTATATTCTCGTAAAATTTTTAAGAAAGAGCCTTATTATAGAGTGACAGCCGTGTGATAAGTAATGAATTGTAAAAAACAAAGTGCTTTAAGTTATTTTAAGCTGTAGAAATTATTTTTAGAGCTTTTGTAATTTTTTGATAAAATAAACGACATTTTTCATTTCGGGTAGTTTACTCAATTTACTTTCCCTTAATTTTGTTATAGAGAATGAGGGAAAAAATGATAATAATAATAAATAAAGAAATACATATAAAAAAAATTTTAAAAAAATAATAATAAATAAAAGGCATGCTCAGTTTCCTTCATGTTGTCATGTGATAACCTACTGGCATGTATCTAATATGTTGTTTATTTGGTGATTGGTGTGTGTTTATGGACTGTGCAGACGATGTTTAGAAGTGGAATGTTCATTTCGAAAGTAATAATCTTATATAAATGACGAAGTTTCGTTGCTTAACATGGGAGCTAAGGACTCTAAACCGTGTTGTATATCATATGAAGACGCCGTAAAAAGAGGTGGGTGACATTTCACTATTAATTGATAGCTTAATTTAAAGCTTTATCGCCCTAGTCCACTGGCCTACTAGGCTTAACATCAGAAGTTTTGATTTTACTCAATAAGAGAAGTTCTTCGTCCTGTTTAAAGCATGTAATCAAATTTTATAAGTAAAGCTCATTTTAATGTAATAAATCATACGTAGCGCGATATTTATGGATTTCTATTTTTAATGTTTGCTTTTATAGGAAGTAATAGTCATTAGTACTGTCAATTTATCTATTGCGTTTAAAAATACACCTGAATTTTAAATGTTTTTTTTGCAGCAAGATGTATTTTATTGAAAATATTAAATTTTGTGAGCTGAAATTCTGAATTTTTATTTATCAAACTTCTATTGCGTACATATTAAGAACTAAAATTATCTTTTTCCCTCGTACGTATAAGTGATTGCTTTGAATTTCGGTAAAAAAAAAGAACTAACTTTATTTCTGTTTTAAATCATAGTCGAAAATAAATGAAATAAACAAAAAGAAAAAATTCATATTGGAAATAAAGTTTGTGGTTAGAATAAGTTAACATGGTTACCTTGCATTCAAATATTTTGTGTGTGACCATATGATTTGATTTTTATGAACGTAATTTTTAGTATTATATTTGCTGTTAACTACGAAACCATCACTATCATAAATTCATGTCATATTTTGTGCTGTGTGTAAGAATTTTGAGTTTTGTAGGTAAGAGATAAATATGTATGTAAAGGAAGGCAAAACTAGGTTTGAAAACTGCATAGTTGAATAGCTGATTTTTATTAGTTTTACTGTGAGAATTTTATATTTAATGGATTGAAAAAATTTACATTAGTTGTATTTATTATGTGTTATATGTTTTGTGAATTGTCAGTAAATTGTTTTCTCAAGCTTATTTCCATGAATTCTATTGAAATCAAAGTAATAATGACTTTCTTAACTACATGTTTCGTAACTCTTTCTCTTTCCATGTTTTTTAACTCATTTTACTACTAATTAAATTCTGCCAATTTGCAATTTGTTATGTGTTAATAAATAAAATGTTTAGGAAAGATTTAACATTTAATTAACTGTTATTCAAATTTATGGCACATGTGGGGTGCCATACATTTGAATTTATGGCACCCGGGAAGACACACATGGGGTGTTTTGGCACTCAAAAAAAAATCGTTGGTTATCTCCTCCCATAATACAAAATGGTTAGGTTCATCAGTAGCTACCTCCAAGATCATGTTCTACACGTCTTGAGTGGAAACGGCAAATTTTGGGCATTTATTGTGGTTTAAAGAACAGTTCAGTGTGTGCCAAAACCCCATGCGCGTTTTCACGTTGCTATTTTTCAGCATGAGCCATGGTGCATTCAAATCGCTCTGTTCGGTCATTTCCTCATTTGACGTACGGTAAAGAAATGAAAAGACTTCAAAAATTATTAGAGGAGGTTTCGTCTGATAAAGATTCTGTAGAAGAAGAATTAGGAGATTCAGATAATGAAGATATATTTAGTGATCATCAGTCTGCATCAGAAGAAGAGTGCGACTTTTCAGAAGACATTCCTTATGATCAAACTGACTATTTTATAGCGAAAGATAAAACAATACAGTGGCAGAAAGAACTCTTGCGAGGTCAAAGATGCATGGCGTCCGATAATATCATAAAAAATTTGCCTGACAATTCACATATATCTGAAGATGTGTCTTCACCCATCAATGCATGGAAACTAATATTTGATGAGACAGTGATTGTGAAATGCTGTAATATTTATGTAAAAAATATTTCGAGAAATTTTAAAAGAGAAAGAGATGTAAAACTTTGCTTTTTTTAAGACTCGTACCTAGCTGAATTGCACAAATCTTCCCGTGCATATGTTAGAGATTTATGGGTAACTGATGGCACAAGATTGGATATTTTTCACAAAACTATGAACTACAAGCATTTTCTTTTCATTCTTCATGCTTTATAATTTGATGATGTCAGAATATGGGATAACAAAAGAGTGAAAAATTAGGTCAAATAAGAGATTTATTTGAAAATTTTGTCAAGACCTGACAGAAATTTTATCATGTTGGGGAATACGCGAGTTTGAACGCGAAAAGTTAGAACTTTTTCGAGGACAATGTTTCTTTCGGCAGTATATACCTAAGAAACTTGCAAGATATGGTATAAAGATATTGGCTGTGGATTTTTCTAGAACCTTCTATACTTTCAACATGAAAATTTGCGCATATCAGCAGCCGGATGGGCCATACAAGAAAGTCAACAATTCTAGTGAAATAGAAAGGGCATCTTAGCTCCATTATACACATCTGGAAGAAACTTGACCGCAGACAGTTGGTATACTAGTTATGAATTGGCCAATTTCATACAGAAAATGATTCGATGAACCTCAAACAAAGATAAAAATTTATTGTACTGGAGATGTTACATGTGCTGAAGGCAAAAAGACAGAAAATCAAAATCTATATGTGCGAGGTGTAAAAAAAATATGTCAAGAGCACTGTGAAATATATGCTTCATGTGTAAACTATAAAATATCTAATGCTTCTTGAGCCTAATTGGTTTGAATTTTAATTATATAACTCGTTCATGTAATAATTCCGCATAATTTGAATTATAATTGCATTCGCAAATAAAAAACCAAAATTTCTCATAGATATCAATGATTCCTAGTCATCTGAAAAAAAAATTTATTTATTTAATTTTAAATTTTAATTTTAAAATTAACATTATTTTAAACTATTTTATATAATAAATGTTGCAATTAATATATAATGCATTCTTTTACTGAATTGTAATAATATGTTTAATTTGTATGTCATTTAATTGCTTGGGGTGTGCTGACACCCCATGCGCGTTCTCATGTTACATAATACAGTGCACATCCTCCCGGGTTAATGATTGTATTTTAGTAGATAAATAATGAATTCCTGAGAATGTATAACATTCATTGAGGTATGAGAAATAGATATAATACTTTGAACTAATTTTAATTCCTGTATAAAGCTGTGTTTTGGAATTTCCAATTCGTTTCATTATCAGTTTAAAACACAGTGATAACTGAAGTAATCAAATTTTTCATCAGCTCCTGTAACTTTTTGATACATCTGGTACTGTTTCTCAGAAGAATATTTGTATTTGGTGAAGAAGGAATCTTTGTTTATATTCTTTTCATTGATTGCTAGAAAATGAGATACTAATGATGGATTATTTTTTATAATTATTGTTATAAAATTAGACTTGATAGCTTCCAAACATCCATTATCTGACATTTTGTGTCATTAAATGACTCCAGGTTAAATATCTGTTAAAAAAATTATTTGATAAAAGTGTATTGAATTTTTGGCATTTTTCCATTAAAGTCATCCCACACATTTTGGCCCAGTATCTTCGCTTTGATATTACATGAAAAGAAACAGTCATGAACAGTAGTACAGAAACATTATTTAATTTCACAGAAGAATGTTCCAAAAGCCCAGGTTGATCTTTACAATATGGTAACTGGTAGTTTGGCGACATTTTGGAGGCGATAAAGGTTACTACCTGGCACTTTGGTAATAATGTGAGCAGTACTCAGTTCCGATTACGCATTATTTTGTGTGAGGGAAATGAGAGATCATGGGATATGTCATGTGATATTAATGGATGAATTACGGTTCCTTAATCGGAAAAGAGGGGAAATCGGGAAATAATCTGGAAATTTTTTTGCGTTTAGCATTTTGGCTTTAGCTTCATAGTGTGTTGTGTGAAACAGTGTTCGATTGAATTTTTGGATCCCATGGCCCGTAACTAAAGTGAATTCCAAATGGATATTTATGTATGTATTAATTTAATGTATGTGCTCATTTATATTTTAAGTAGTGTTTTTGAATTTAATTATATTTAATTAAATGATAGTTATTTTGTGAATTTTATGTTTGTAGGAATTTGGTATACGTTTTAGTTGAAGTAAACGTGCATGGAAATTATTTAAATATCTGACACTAAGTATTTGTAATGGTTGCGGTATGAATTCGTTGGTGACGTGTATAATGTAATAGATGATTTAGAGGTAAAAGTTTTTGGATATTGTATTTATTTTATATGTGGAAATGTTCATTACTTTTTCGCGATCAGGTAATTTCGTATATGTTCTTTTTACCGGGTTTAAAGATTGAGAAAATTGTCATGTATTTTCGTGAAATTTTTCTAATTTTATGAGAAAAAAGCAGTGTACATGGATATAGTGAAGAGTGTGCGCAATGCCATTTTTGTGCAATTCTGGGATGTTTTTTTAAGTAAAAATAAGTCGGCTTGTACATGGTTTAGTGATATTTTAATTAAATGATAGTCATTTTGTGAGTTTTATGTTTGTAGGAATTTGGTATACGTTTAAGTGAAGTAAACGTGCATGGAAATAATTTAAATATTTGATACTAAGTATTTGTAATGCTTGCGGTATGAATTCGTTGGTGACGTGTATAATGTAATAGATGATTTAGAGGTAAAAGTTTTTGGATATTTTATTTATTTTATATGTGGAAATGTTCATATTTGGAAAGGGTAAATACTTTATCGCGATCAGGTAATTTCATATATGTTCTTTTTACCGGGTTTAAAGATTGAGAAAATTGTCATGTATTTTCATGAAATTTTTCTAATTTATGAGAAAAAAGCAGTGTACATGGATATAGTGAAGAGTGTGCGCAATGCCATTTTTGTGCAATTCTGGGATGTTTTTTTAAGTAAAAATAAGTCAGCGTGTACATGGTTTATGTGTATGTGTTATTTTGAAAAACGCGTAAGGAGTATGGTATTGTGCACTTTTTCCCAATTTTGCAGTGAATATTTGTCATAATTAAGCAGTTTTGTTAGATAAAATTTGTAGCATAAGTGTAATTCGGCTAGTAGATTGTTGGAAGAAGTGTTCAGTAGATAAAAAGAAAAGAAATATGTTTTTACTTCGTGAAGACAAAATGGCGGCGGGAAAAAAAAGTAGAAAGTTGCTGTAGGAGAGTTGGTCGCCAAATTTTCGCCAAAAAAACGCCAAGTTACCATAATGTAAAGATCAACCAAAGCCCATTCTGCAATGTAATTGTTCTACTAAACCACCTTGTCCAATTCATTGGTACTCTTTTGTTATTGAGACCAGATTCAGAAATGTTATGTATCTATCTGTGTTCATGTATTCAAGTATCCATCCTTTAGGTAAAATATTTCTAGCATTGTTTTTCCTATGTACAAAGAAACTTGTCTGTTTTTGACAATTATACGGTCTACCGGAAAGTTTTGTTCGTTTCTCGAATAAAACAAAATACAAATTTTTCTTACCGTCAATAAAATTTATTAAAATAATATAATTGCCATTATTATTAATTACTTCTTGCCAACGTAAGCGCAATTTGTATATCCCATTTTTGAAAAATGTAACTTTTGATGTGAAAAATTGAACTGGTGCTTGTTTGATATCTACTTCATTTTTGAATTTTTTGCCCTTCAAAAAATTTTTGTAAGGACAAAAACAAGTGATAGTCAGAGGGTGCTAAGTCCGGGGAATATGGTGTATGTGACAGAATTTTCCAGCCTAGTCCTTCCTGTTGAAAATCGAGGGCCTCTTTGCTTGGACTGTTGTCTTTAAATTGTCTAATTGCTGACAGTACTTCTCTGAATTGAGCTTTTTGTTTGGTTTTAAAAGCTCATAATGTACTGGTCCTCAAATGTCCCACCATATACATTACATTCTCCTTATTCAGGGTCAAATTTGGTTTAGAGGTGGGAGGGCTAGGTTTTCTGGGTTCACGATATGCCTTTTCCCTTACGATGTTTCCGTGGATGATCCACTTTTCTTTCCCAGTTATCATCCGGTTCAAGAAAGACTTAATTTTGTTCGGAGCAAGCAGAGATGTGCTTATTACGACTCGATCACCCAAATTCTTCTGACTTAATACATGGGGTACCCATCTTGTATATTTCCACACCAATCCTATCTTCCGAATATGGCTCAAAATGGTTTGATGAGCTGAATGAAGCCTTTCTGCAATCTCTGATGTTGTCACAAAAGGATCTTGCTCCAACATGGTCATAAAAAAACCGTCGCCGATCAAATATGATCGTCCAGAACATGGCTTATCAGAAAGTTCGAAATCACCTGTTTTAAATTTTTCGAACCATCTTCTGCATGCCTTATCAGAAACTGTACCTTCACCAAACACTTTCAATAAATTTCTTCCTTGTTGAAATTTGTATAAAATACAGTGGCGTAAATGAACTTGGCCATGGGTACACTATCGCTTCACGCTTAAGACTAACGTGAATCTACTTTGTTTTAGTTAACTTGCTACTTCAGTATGTATACATTAAGCAATAAAAATAGAGAGCCGAACATATGGCAAATAAACATGTGCTTACGTGTCAAAAATTGTTGTCATAAAACGGACATAACTTTCCGGTAGACCGACTATATTGGGTCTGCACTTTGGCATTCATGTTTTAAACAAACCTCCTCCTAAATTTGTTTCAGCGTGTATTTTCACTATTACAAATATTTTTTGCACTACCTGATTGATGTCTTTGCTTCAAACCAACAGTAGATAAAACTTTATGTGGTCAAAAAAGGAATTTTTATAACATGAAATCAGTTTCCATCATGAGTTCTCTTTGTTATGCATTGTTTACCTGTACATTGCGGTGTGAGTTTGTGAAGTGTCATTTTGCAATTGTTCTCACAAAGTGTAGCACACAGTAGAATTTTCACACTTAATCTGGCATTTACTGCCAGGGCTATGGAGTCGGAATCATGAAGTTGGAATCAGAGTTGGGCAGATTTTGGGGTAAAAGGAGTCAGAGCTGGAGTCACTAAAAATAGGTCGGCTCTGACTCCAATTTTTGTTGGACAGTTTGAATTTGAAATTAAATTAAAGTGAATTGAAAAAAATTAATGACAAACTGAGTTATTATTTTTATTTATGGATTATATACATTAATAAATAGTTATTTTCTATTTTATTGACATATTAATAAATAAATGTAAGTGAGGAGAAAGGATGGGATATTTGCCATCAGTGATTAAACTGATTCATTTAGTTATTTCATTTAGTTACTAATCTCACTGGTAAATTTAGGTTAGCAGCAAGAACTCCCAAAATTGATGCCATTCTTCAGAAACGAGCAGGAAAAGAAGCAGTTATTGATCAAGCAACGCGATAAGGAAGTACATATTTGATAATATAGAGGTTGTTAGAATTAAGAATTTTTTTAGAAGATGTAGATAACTCTAATGTTTCACTAATAGAAAGACTGTAGAATGATGTTTCAGAATTGGAAACTCTTCTTTTTACACCGCATATAGCCACAAGAAAGCTACAATCTGAAGAATCAACAGGAGGCGAGAATGGAAGAACATGATGTTTGTTCTTTCTGAAATGGAGGATTGATTGCAGAAGGAATCATTTCTTCAATGACGAAAAGAGAAACTAGTTTGGTAGACAATAAGATCGCGCTGTGATTAATATAAGTAGATCCAAAACGCCGAATTTTGTTGGATGACAAGCAAATTAAAAAGGCAAAGAAAGCCATCTATGAACTTTCATTAAGAATGAATTATTCTCAGAACAACTGGAGTATTCAAATCAGGACAGTCACACTGCAGATATTGCAAGTGAGTCTCTAGCATCCTCTTCCACTGATGAATTAGATTCTGAGAAATATTTGGATAATATTGAAAAGGCTAAGGCAAAGCGAATGAAAATAAAGAACCAAGAGCCTCAAATCAAAAAGTATCCATCAAATGATTCACTCAATTGCTAGAGGTGTATTATAATTTCTGGTATAATTATTAATTTTTCATTTTGCAAAACAACTGAATCCAGCATAGGGAAATTTGCTAAATTCCTGTGTTCAACTCAACATATCCAGAGTTTTAATTTTTCAATAAATGAAGCTAATTTTTCACTAGCTGTTATTATGTTCTTGCCATATCTTTGCATTGAAGTGCTCACTTCATTCATGTGATAGAATATATCTGCTAGGTAGTCTAGCTGAAGCAATGCATCCCCATTTCCAAAAACTTCCACTAAATCATTATTTTGGTTAATAGAAACTGTATAATTTCTTCATGCAATCAAAAAACCATGGTCAGCATGCATCCCTTGGAGGGCCTTTGTATTTCCATATGATAAAGAAGCACAGTATGAACAGCACCGATTTCTTTGCACAAAGCATGAAAAATTTGAAGATTAAATGCTCGTATGCTCGTCCTTGGATGTACTTAGCTACATTCACTGCTGTAGTTTGATATTGTTTCAAATTCTCTGATAAAGCTTTTGTTGCAAGTGTATGCCGATGTTACATGCAGTGCATTATTGTAACTTGCAGAATTTCTCTCTTCATGTACGAAATAAATCCAGAATTTTTACCCAGCATTGCAGTGGCACCATCAGTGCAAATTGAACCTAGAATACTCGTACTTACTTGTACCCACACACCCCCTTTAGATGTTATTGTGCCTCCCTTGAGCTCTGTCAGAGAAAAATATCTCATTAGTAGCAAGTTAATGACTTGATGAAATATTCGACAATTTACATTTTCTTGTATTAGTTAATTAGTATGTATTTTTCTTTATTTTGTAATTTGAAATAAAATTAGTTATCACGTTCATATGCATTTATTATTATTATTGAGTTAATTTGTAGGTTTGTATTAATTTTTCTAATTATTTGGATTCACAAAATCCATCCAGTAAAATCGCATATTTTCGTGAAATTATTATTTTCTAAGCATAAAACAGCGGGTGCCCACAAAGAATGACAGAAGTTTAAAAGTATTACTTAAGACAAGGTTCGGTTGGACGTCACTGACCTAGAACGAGAGCTATAGAACTGTTCAGTTTTTTGGGGGGCTTCAGTGTATAAGTTATGGTAATATATTATCAAATATATTTTTATAATTATTGTATATGTTTTAAATTCTGCGTTGTCACTACTTGTTTATTGTACACAGATTTTTCCTAATTTTGTGGCAAGAGAAATTACTCTGAATAATTTAATTTAAAAAAAAAAAAAAATGTAGTTTTATGTTTTTATATGGAGAAGTGACCTTGCTTGTATTATCCGCTGTTAATTTTATTTTTGAAACACTATCATAAGTTAATGAGACTTTTATATATTTCTTTAGTTACGGATGCTGAACTTCGAAGATTAAGAGATGCCTTCAAACGATCAGCAAATTTGAATTGTGTGATAACAAAACCTGGCTTCATTAAAGATGTTTTGGGAGAATTTGTTCCATTAAAACTTGCTGAGGTAAGCATTAAATTACAGCTATGTTATGTGTTTCAGTTATTCACCTTTTTTATTCACTAGTTGATAATTCATAATTTTTCTTTCCTATTTAAAATTTTTTGTTAGTAAAAATCAAAACAGAAGAGACATGCCAAAATGAAACTTCAAAGCAGCAACCTTGTGTTTAGCGAAATCATAACATTATTCAACATCCAAGAGCTGTTGGCTAATCTCATAACATTATTCAAGAGCTGTTGAAATAATTTATCCTATTCCTCAATAAGTGCTTGGATGAGGGTGTCCTTGTTTATTGGAGGGCATTCTTGACCAGCAAGATATACCCCCAAACCATCCCATACACTTTCATTGGGATTCAGATCTGGAGAATGTGCTGGTTGTACGAGGCGCTTAATATCCTCGCTCTCTAGATACTCCTGGACAGCGACTGTTTGATGACATGTTGCGTTGTTGTCCATGAAAACAAATTTATTGCGTACAGCACCACGAACATGCAAACTGAGATAGCAGAACATAATTAATGTATCATTGGCCTGTCATAGTCCCAGTTGCAATCACATGTAGGGTGTGCAGCCATTGATCATAGTGCCAGCTCATACCATGATAATGTGTCTCAGATACCGATCCTTTCCTAGATATTTTCTGGACTCTCATGCCAATAATTGGGCGTCTATAATCCGGTACTACACTAAACTTACTCTTGTTCCATGAATAGTACAGTTCCATGAATGAACAGGACGAGTTCTGTTGAGTCCAATTACAATGCTCACGATACCATTGCAAACGGGCATTACGGTGCTGTCTGGACAATGGGATGCACATACAGTTTTTCAGGAAATTCCCTTGCAAGTAACCGATATGCTACTTCAATAGCTCTTCTGCTGTGGTTCTTTTTGTCAATATCATTGTACCTATCTTCTGCAGGTGTCACACTGCAAATACAACTCCCCTTGTGACGTTTGTTACATATTTCATCATGTAACAAACATGTTGAATAATGTTATAATCCGGTAACACACTAAACTTACTCTTGTTCCATGAATAGTACACAGGACCAGTTCTGTTGAGTCCAATTACGATACTCACGATACCATTGCGAACGGGCGTTACGTTGCTGTCTGGACAATGGGATGCACATAACAGGACGGTGGATGTATAATCCTTCTTGATGCAAATGCCTGGCTACAGTTTTTCAGGAAATTCCCTTGCCAGTAGCAGCAAGCAACTGATTTGCTACTTCAACAGCTCAGCTGCTGTGGATCTTTTTGTCAATAGCCTATCAATGTACCTATCTTCTGCAGGTGTCACACTGCGAATACAACTCCCCTTGTGACGTTTGTTACATATTCCATTTGTTTGAAATGATTTCAAAAGCCTTGAAAAAGCACTTCATCTGATGTTAAACTCCCTGGCCTTATCTGTAATTTTTTGCTCTTCTTCAATATTACCAATAATAGTGCCATACGCGTCAAATCCTTTATCTCGTTTACCAGGCCATCACGTGATGAAAACTTCAGCAATCCAAAATTTGCATACGCACAACACATCTTACTGTATCCTACACTTATGCTAATTTTCACATTTTCCTGCCTTCCATTTTGTGGTTTCTATCATTGCTACCATCATCAGCAATTGTTCACCAGTGTATGATGCGCTGCCATAAATTTGGATAAATTTTAAAGTTAAAAGCAAAATGCCTGTTAAGTATGATTAGCAGTGATTTATGATGGATACTCACTTCCAGTTAATTCATAGTCTAGTGATCTCAAACCAGCAGCCTGTAAGCCAGCATGCAGCCTCTGAAGCTGTTTTATGTGACGCACAAATACATTTCAATTATGTATTCGTTGCAAAGCTTTCAGAATTTTAGCTGAGTTTACATTATTTTCATTACAATTAAAAATGAGTGTAATAAACCAAAAAAATCTCTAAATGGGCTACTTAATTTATGGTATAATATAAGTATTATTCAAAGATTTGAAGATATTGATTTTATTGACTTTTATTCATACTTGTCAAAAAATAATTAACCTCAGTTAGGAATTTTTGTACTAAGAATAGTCACTTTGTTTCTGAATATTTTTAAATGTAAGCAGCCTTTCCCCCCCCCCAAATTTGAAAATTAATAAGAACACGATCATCCAGTAAAGATTTACAATTCATGCTAAAGATAATTTCTTTATAAAACTTCATGATAAGCTTCATGATTCAAGCTGTAATAAGAAATATAGAAGTTTGTAATTATATAATATATGCCATACAACTGTCGTGGTATACATGCATGATCTTGCATAAGGCTTATCGATGCAGGTAAATGGTTAAGCCATCCCTGCTTGCAGCAGTCTAAGAGCCTCTGTCTAACATATAATGGTCTCTTTCTTGGATGATATCAGGCCCCTGGTTCTCTGCAGATGAAGTTAGGTCAAAGCAGTGCTTAAGCTGATTAGGGACTCATCTCTCAAGAAATTGTCCTTTACTGATGCTTGTCTAGACTTGATATTCTCTGCACCACATCAAATGGGCTTTCTTGCATGAAAAGTGAATGGAATGTAAATAACAGGTCTTCTAATAAACATATCTCTTTTATGTGACTAATCCTGGAAACTCACCCTCTTGTGTCTGGATGGAAGTTGTAAGAAGCCTGAAAAGCTGTTGCAGCCATATTATGTCTCATTGAAGTAGACAAATATTCTTCATTGGCTGTTGTGGCTCTTTGATGACCTCACTCAGATTTTCACTCTACTGATATAATATGCTTAATCCGTTTTTGTAAGTTGCATGTAATGACAGGTATAACATTTAGGTCTAACAATGTACACTTGAGATTGCCCTGCTTTGTCAGAGAATTCCCTTGCCAGTAGGATTCCATTCAGGGAGAGATTCCATCAACCAAATTTTTTTATTAGTCATTTTAACCATCGTCTTTTAAATGTCACCCAGTGCTGCAAAAAACATCACTAAAGTTACCGATGAGCGCAAGCAAGCGAAGTATAGAAAATTTGCACTTTAACATTTCTTCTTCCAAACATTCCAACCACTTACATGTGAATGCTTCCATATTTGACACTAAAGGTTTCCATTTTTTTGTTTGGGAGAAGAATCTTTACGTTTGGTGTCCAAGTGAGGTAGTGGTTAGCGATGCTGACTACTGACCGAAGGGCCCAGGTTTGAATTCTGGAGAAAGCATAGATGTTTCTGTGCAGCATGAACTAAATATGCAGTGAGCCTAAAATCCTCTTGAGAGGTTGGTGGTAGAAGAAGGATGGGAGACCCTCAGAACCATCCACCTACGGTTCAGTTCGGGCCAGAAGTGAGAAAAGTCTTACTGTCACCTATATGGTGCTCAAGGCTCTTGTCAATGACAGCTGCAGTCTAGCCCCTTGCTATGATGAATTTCGTGGGCTTATTCTGATATCAGAGACCTGATCTCATGTAACTATCAATCAGGTGGGATAAGCTGTAAACAAACATGTTTACTTTTTGTTCAGTATTTTGTAAGAAAATTTCCAAAATTTGGAAACCTCAATTTTGAATTGCCAGTTGTAGCTTACAGTATAAGGAAGAAATAATTTTCCAGTTGGGTTGCTCCTTTCGTCTTGCAGTATGTAAAGAAATCAGCATATCATTTAATCACTGTGGGTGACAATAATTGCAACATAACCCCATGGGTTTGGGGCCAAAAACTCCAACCAACCAACCAGTTCTCCTCCAATTTTGATGGAGAGCACCTTGGGGGAGGGGTCGAGTTCAAGGGTCTCCCACCTCTCAGATGATAATCATTCATTTTTAAGCCTGCACTCTGTGCAAATGATACAGTTACATTTCTTCTTTATTTAAAGTCCTGTAAATGATTGGTATTAATAAGTATTTAAAGTCCTGTACATCTGCCAGATTTCGTACTCGTAGCAGAATTAACCTTTTCTTCTATTTTTTTAATCCTATGCTGATTCTTAATTTCAGCCCTTGTTTAGCAGCCCATTAAAAATCTTGAAACAAGCAAAAAGTTAACATCATCTGCAGAATTAGTGTCTGTAATATCATTAAAATATGACGGTTGCAGGAGTGGTAGCCAATCATATCAGTGAGGCTAGTTAACTGGAACATTGGGAAGTGTGCCAGGCTAATATTATGGAAATGTTTATGCAGATAGTCATGGTCAGATCGAAGATGAAAATCTGCTTACACCCACATCTCTTGAAAGGTTATGAGGAATGGGAATTGTCTGTGAGGAACACCTGGGATTTTGCCACAGTTCCTCAAAGATGTTTTGCCAGTATAGACTAATGCTAGACTAATGCTCTTAACAGTCAAAAGTTAACAAGAATCTAGTTGGTGTAAATTAAAAAGATCCTTGGCTAAGTCATTTGCCAAGCCATTTCTAATAATGTCATAGTGACTAAAAATATATCCTAAAGTGTATCTATTACAGTTTCTTCTATTGGTGCGATATCTTCCTTTATATACATCGCACTTGTGAGCATAGAACAATCTAGACTCCCTAGTTTCCAATTAAATATGTTTTTAAATGTTTGAGGATTCAGCAGTTTTCTACTCGGGAATAATTCTCTGTGCATCCTTTAAATAACCGCTCTGTTTCTGTCTGTAGCTCCGTAATTGAACTGTATATCGGCATTCTCAATTTTCATGTAGAGATGCATACTATTCAAAATTTACACGAGAAGGAGGATTTACACAAACAAACAACTTTCAGGAATTAATCTTAACAGTACTTTCTGTCACCTCAACGTACTATTTCTGTTCTTATATTCCATTATAAAATCTGCTTATTATGGTCCCCTTTAACTTACTGTACATGTTTTGCCCAATATTTTAAAATCATTATGTATATGGTCATTAATAGTACTCATATTATCTCTCTCTATATATATATCTACAGAGGCTGTTCACACATTTTTTAGATGATGTATATAGTATTCACAAAACTAAATTACATAAAATTCTTGTGTTTTAAATGTTCTATTTGACATCCCTTATTCTGAACTATCTTTCGACACTGCAATTTCCAGGATAATAATGCCTTTTGAAGTGGCAGAAGAGTTATTCTATCCCATTCCTCCCGAAGAGCTTTCCAGAGTCCTGTTAGGGTTTTGGGACAACGTTTGGATAATGCAGTTTTTAAAAGTCCGAAAGCACAAAAATCCATAGGTGACACATTGGGAGATTTAGTAGGGATATCAGTGAAGGTTATGGCCGTGATACCAGGTTTTTTCCATTTCTTTTAGGAAATTTACAGTGGATTTTGATGTGTGACTGCTAGCTTTGTCCTGATGGAGTCTTACAGATGGATGGCACTGTGGGTAAATCGAGGGTATTTCATTCAGAAAAATTGGCGATAAAATATGTTCCTGATAGTATTTGGAGTTAATCTTGACAATTTTTGGCATTCTCTTTATTTTTAACTTGCCATTATAAGAAAAACCAGGAACAATCATGAATCCCTTAGAAAAACTTTCTTTCGATTCTTTGAACCATGTACTTAAATTTTTTTCTCTCCTTTTATGATAATAAATAGCTCTTTTATGTTACAATCATTTAAATACACCCATGCTTCATCTATTGTGACAATTGTTTTCCATTTTTGTTTGGATAAGTGTTTGTCATATAGAATTCTGCACCGTGTCCTGGGTTGAGCGATATGCTTTGGAAGAAGACGATGCACATTGCGTTTTTTCGCTTTCTTAAGATTTAAATCAACGTTTATCATTTTGTTTACAGTGGACACCGAGCATTTTAATGATTTTGCAACTGTGCTTTGACTAGGGGTTTTTCTTTTAACATTAAACAACGTACCTTTGCAATAGTCGAAGATGTCTGTGTTTTACTTGGATACTTGTTTGGAATTTTTGTCCCACTTGAGGCTCCAATTTGACGTTGTTTTCCTTTCTTGTTGATGATATAACCTATCGATGCTTTAGATATCACAAAACCATGACTCTCACATCGTTTTTGGATAATGGAGTATGCATATTTCTCTTCGGAAAGAGCGTAAATGTAGCCTTCGAACCACTGGTTTGTTAAATTCGCCATTTTGAATAAAAACAAAACTTCAAGCCACAGATGATAATTTTGACTTTTAAAAACATAGTACAATTGCAATCACTTTTTTTGCAGGAAATGATTTTTTATTACCGCTTACCAAAATTGTCTAAAAAATGTGCGTAGACAATTTAATATGTAATTTAAAAATTTCCATAATTTTAAGATGATCTTTTAATGCAACTTTTAGGAATAATGTTTCATTTTTTATCAGTTTGTAGAGTCCTTTTTTGTTCATTTGCATAATAAAAAAGAATGTGGAGTTTTGTAAAATTAAGTATTTTATGATATTTTTTAGTAATATTTCTCTTTTCTTCTTCTTTTATTTATTTATTTTTTTTTGTTATATTTCAGTATATTTTCCAAGCATGTGGAGGGACAAATAAAGGTATATCATTCAAAGACCTTCTTTGTGGCTTGGTTCTTCTGACAAGGGGTGAAGAATGTGAAAAAGTCAAATGTTAGTATTTTTTATTTTCCTTTAACTTTCTCTTTCATTTTATCTTAAATATTTCACAAAACAGTAAATGACAGGCTCAATTGAGATAACTCAATGCCACTTTTTTGGCGGGAAGAACATTAATAATAATGTTAAAAAAATCAAACTGTGAAAAGTCAGAAAAGCATATCTCTGTCAAATTTTTCATTTCACGGTGTACTGAACAATGATTTGTTAAACTGATTTGGCTCGAAGTTTCGATAGTTGTTCTTTGTTTCATTTTTGTTTTGAAAATAAATTTTCAGAGTTTCTAAATGTGATCATAAGATTTTATACTGCAAAGCATTTTGTGCAAATGTGTCGGTTTATGCCCTGTTTTTATAATTCTATAATTCTTGACAATTGGGCTAATTCCTGGTCAGAACTATTCCTTAATATTTATGTTTGATATTTTATCTATTATTGCTTTGCAATTTTTTTAAAAAAAAGTCATACAGCTTTTTCAAAGCTTAATTGCAAAGTAATTATCATAATCATAAATGCAGTGTGCAAACCAGGCTTGAGGGTTTGTACGACATTTATAATTAAGATTGAGATAATAATTAAGATAATATGCTTAATATGATAGAGCTTATAAAATATCAAGCATAAATATCATAAAGCAGCACTCATCAGAAAATAATGCAGTAGTTGAGAATTATTCCATAAATGTAGGGCATAAAACTGGCATATTCTTGCTTTGCAGTAGCAGATCTTATATTGTCTATTTATTTTCAGAAATTTAAAAATACAAAATAATAAAAATTTTATGAATGACATACTTTTACAATTTTTTTTTTTTCTCTCCCTTTATACAGTCAAAAGTCATTAATTCGGACACCCATAATTCGGAATGATCTATAATCTGGACCTCAAAACTAAAAACGTTCTGCGCATGCGCCGCGTTGACACATGCGCATAGGCGTTTACGCGTGCGCGTAAGACCTTTTACGACTGCGCATATGAGTGTGCGCAAGTGCAGAATACGTTTTCGCGTGCGCGTTTTATGTATAATGGACGTATAAGCTAAAATTATCTAATTATCTATTTCAGTTAATGTTAATGATTGCGATGTTCCTTAATTTTCGAATTGGATCCGGCTTATTATTTTTTGCAGACTGTAAGAGCAATTTTATAAAAGTAAGCTTAAACTTTCGATTATATCAAATAGAATTTCTGATATATATTTGTTAATATGTAAAGGATCTAAAGCGAAAGTATGTTTTGAAATCCGAAATCTGATTATCAATTTCACGCTGCTCGGCGGGGGGAATGCTGCGGCGAGCGCATAATGAATTGGAAGTTGATTTGTCAGCACTATCCTTATCTTCAGCGCAGATGTTTTTATTTTATTTGGCTTATAATTCCTTACCAAATGTAGTATTTCATCTCGATATGCTCCGTCTTTGATATGATTTAAAACAGTTCCTCGTCATTATAATTCGCTTCCGATAGCGAAGAAAAGTGACAGAGGTTATTGAAAACGAAGAAATTTCGATTGACAAATTAGTCGGTGTTCTTGACACAGCAATTATAGGACTTGAACAGCGGAACTTTGTAACTGAACAAGAAATTATGTCTGTTTAATAGAATTAAAGAGAAAGTATTATCACATGAAACGAAGCAAAACTTAAACAACTTACATTGAAAGAAATGTTTAATAAAGTAAACAAATAAATATTAAGCTTTTTCTTTTTGCAAATTTTGATACCCTTTAGATCATAATTGTTCTTTATTTCATAAATTACGGTTTCATATTTTTAATTTTAGAATTTCTGCATGCCATCTAACGCGATTTTAACTGATGATCTATAATCCGGAAAAATCGATAATCCGGAATCGCCAAAGTCCCGACGAGTCCGGATTAACGACTTTTGACTGTAGTTCAATAGGTCAGTAGACAAAAATTCACTGGTTTCAGAAAATCAATGTCTATCCAGTAATAGATCAGTTTCAATTTTTAACTTGTGATAGGGAAACAATCCACAATATTAGAAAAGGAAAAATGTGTAAATTACAAACAAGGGATTCCCCCTTGTTTGTAATTTAACTAAAAATCTGAAAAGTTTCAGAATTTAATTGTCACATCAAACACCTCTTTTAAAGTGTAATATGAATTATAAGTAAATATTATCAGTAGGGATAGCCCATGTGGAAATAGCAAAATAGTTTATGGGGTACTAGATGAATATATATTTAGACTAATACGGGAATTTATATATCTTCTGTATATTTGAAAAAGGAAAGAAAAATGATATAATATAATTCTATAAAAATATTTAATATTTTAATTAGATGTATCAGGAATCAAATGCATTTTTATTTAAAAGCAGATTAAAAAGTTAAAAAAATAATAATATTCTTATGATCTGCTGCTTTTAAAGAGCTTAGTTTGTTAATCAATAAGAGACAGATTAAATTTGAAGGATAAAAAGGTTTTGTTGAATGGTAACATACTTGAATGGAAAGGGAAACAATGCATTTACAGTGGGAAACATTTAAAATGAATCAACACAAAATCATGTTTTGAGACTAATAGACCATTTAAGCACTTTTTTAAAGGGGTAGGGGGGAGACTGAAGCAGAGAGATGGAAAAGAGAGAAAAAAAATTACCCACTAAGGGGAAAAGAAAAAAGTGTTTTCGTGCATAATTTCGCCACTAAAGCTAACATTGGGAGAAGGGAGGAGGCTATAGGTGCTATGTAAATGATATCAGCAATCTAAATCTTATTAACAGTTTCGTTGAAATATTACGTTGTTGCTCACTGTCAAAAAAGTGTTTGGAGATAAACATGATATATCACAGCTATTATACTGCATAGTATAACTATTACTGTTAATATCTCTTTTCTATTGGAAAATTCACAAAAGTACTGGCCAGAAAAGCTTGTATAAAATTTCTAGATGAAGGAACTGAAAACTTACATTTACTAAGCCAGATAGAGGAAACAAAACATACAATATCTCTTATGAACCAATGATTTTCACTATTTTCAATACTTAATGAAATAATGGCTAGTGTTTATAAATGGTGTAAGAAATTTTTTGAATAATTTATTTATTTATTTATTTGTGGAATGTAAATCTTTTCATATCAGATAAATTTTTATTTAGATCCAAAATTCTGTGCACGATTTTCCTTCATTTAGTTTATTTTAGTACATCCAACTAATCATTTGCCATATTTGTAATAAAGAACAACAGTTATCTTTTTATAGCTTTTGAAGTTTGAGGAAAATGTGTACTTAAAGTTCTTTTTTATTTTAAACTTTAGATTATGAATGACTTTGAGAATTAAGTGTTAAGGCAGTATGTTCATTACTTTTTTTTAAATCCAAAGAGGCATTAGCCTAGAAGGGCTATTAATCTCAAAACTTGATTTTGCGTCAAATCACTAAATGGCTGTACATTTTTCAAATTTTTGCCACCAAATATTATCGCCCTGTGTTAGATTTAAAGAAATTAAGTAATAAAGAATTTGCATGAATGTATGTATGTTTCATGTACTGTGAAAACGGATACCTAGAGCCATAAAATTTTGAATATTTAGTGATCCACTCGAAGCATAAATCTGGAATCCTAGAAGCATAAATCTGGAATTTTGAATTTGCTTTACTATCTATATCATATTTTTAAACTGTAGCGAATTTTTTATTAAGACACGTTTTCAAAACGAGCAGTGGCAACTCACTATCTCCAATGTGCGAAACTGTCTGTTTTAAATTCTAAAGATATGCTGTTTTTTAAGTATTTTTAACCCAAAGGGGCATTATCCCAATTGCTCTCGAAACATGTATGTATATGTAAATGAAAAAAAAATGCCCCTTTGGATGTAATATAAAATGTGAGTTTTTTTTCTTGTGTGTGGAGAATACAATTTTTTTTTTTTTTTTCCTTTATAGTTATCTTTTGTTTGTGCTGTAATGAAGGGGGAACTCACGTGTATAAAGATGACCTAATTCGGCTTATCCAGGCTTGTGATAATGGATATGTTCCTGAAATTATTGCAGATTGTTTCTCTGAGGTGAGATTTTTTTCTTAAATTTTTTCCTGTCTATTTAATTAAAGGTTCTTTTATACATAAATTATTATAAACTGTGTATTTCAGTCTTGATTTTCGTAGAATCAGTGCACAATATGTATACAATACTATGATAAAGTATCGGGAATGATTCCATGAAACACAAGCAGATTAGTGGTCAATATTTACTTCATTTCTTTCCAATCCCCTTCAGTAGCAATTCACTTTTCCAAAATTTTTGCCACCGTGATAATTTATTTTAATAGTAACTTTCATGAAACTTCTTCAGAACTCGATGAATTTTCTTTTAATCCCTCAATAGACTAATAATGGATACAAAGCGGATATTTCATTTGTGGAAATAAAAACTCCATATTATGTGAATACAGAGTTTATTTAACATTCGGTCAAAATTTTTGGGATACAAGAGCATCATAAGCAAATATTGTAGTGAAGAATCCATGAATTATCTTGCACAGTTCATTTTCTACAAATTGATTCATGCTAACACCTCAAAAACTTAAGTAATGTTCTTTGTTAGCAATTTGTATATTTGATAAAAATTCATAATGGACAATGCCAATTGAATTAAAAATTGAAAAAAGCATTCAGCATTTTCTGGACTTCAGACTGACGCTGACGGTCCGCCCCTTTTTTTTTTTTTTTTTTTGTGCTTCACCTTTTTAGTTATTATATATCAAAAATGTATAATTGTATATCAATATGAATTATTTAAATCCATTATAATTCGTTACAAGAACAAATATACTCAATGCAAAAAGAAACACATATTAGAATACTGATGGCTTAATTCCAAAAATATAAATATCTATGTACATTTAAATAAATATATGCAATGCACACACCTAGCTACACTACATAACTATTTTGACAACATTCTACATTACTTCATGAATACATTTTCACAAAATTTGGATAGGAATAAAATATGTGAATAATCAGAAAGTGCCAATTAAATAAATCATGATAATTAAGTTTCTTAGTAAAATTATAGTACATAGTGAAAGAAAATTGCAGTGGAATTAGAAATCTCAGTTTTTTCAAGTAATAATATTTTCAGTTCCTAGGAGCAATTTATTCGATTCAATAAGACTTTTGATTATTTTGTTTGGTGGTAAGGAAGTCATTGTACAGTTAATAAATGTGAAGTATGGTTTCCGGCTTTTAATTGTTACTGTTTATTAACTGATGACATGATTATTTAAATTGGTATTATTTTTGAATTAATAGCCGAGTTTCTAGCCCCCAAACTGGCCATGACACATATATACTGCTTAGAATATTTTTTGTAACATCTTTAAATATATATATATACATTAATTTTGAAATAAATCCAAGAAATTAAAATAATATTTTAAAGAGAAAAAGAATCCTTGTATAAAGTGTGTAGGGTATTTTGGTATTTTAATCAAGAAAATGCCTCATTCTCACATCTGTTTTGGAGTTTTGGAGCCAACCCTTGGCCTGTTAGAGCCTGCAAGAATATTAGCAAAGGAAAAATCGATGGTTTTTGTAATAATAATTGATATTATTAGTTCTGCATCTGAATTTAATGGGACTTTTATGAAATTTATAAACTTATATTAGGGTTTGCTTGAAATAAAAATTTTATAGAATGCTTGAAATATTTTAATAATGTTGTTTTCTTGAGGAAAAAAAAATAAAATAATACTGTTTTTAAATAATTTTTTGTAGAATTTTTTTACGAATTGTATTAAAATTGTCATTGGCTTTAAAAGTGGTAATGATAAATTTGCTTTTAAGTTTCATATTCACTTATATTATCTATTTAGATTAAGTTAGTATGTTTAATAATAAATTGTAGTTTATTAACATTTTATTATTAGTGGCTGCAGATTGCAAAGGATATCAAATTAACCCTCCATGTGGGCCAGACATTTATGGGCATTAAAATAAAAAATATTAGTGATGATATCTTTTTATAAATTGATATTGTTATTGTCCATGTTAAATTAAGTAATAGTCATGTCATTATTGTAACTCGTCATCTGACAGCTGAGTAAAGCTGAACTTCATATGTTTATGTTTGAATACGATATAAGAATAGGAATTATGTTTTTTTTTTTAATTAAAATAAATTGATTGGATTAATATATTTTGCAATGGTAGGGAGGCTTAAAATAGAAATGGGGAACATAGAAAGGGAGTGATAAGCTAGAAAGGTTAGGAAACATTAATCTAGATATTGTAACATTTGCGTCATTGTTCCTAAGAGAATGAGTGTTAGGAAAGATATGTTACAGCATCCTTTTTATGCTAAATATTCCAGTCCCTCAAACTGACAAACAGTGCAGAAATAATGGATGCACTCAATAATTTACTACTATCTAAAATAAAATTAAGAACTGCAAGTGTATCTAACTAGTTAATTTCTTCACCAAATGTTCTTGAAAGCAACCTTCCACAATTGCGATTTCATCTGTAAAGAAGTTGTGTAAGGTGATTCTGCAGGAAAAACCAGCATGTAATTGCCAAATAACTGCATTTGTCCCTTAGAAGTGTGAATTGCACTTGTGTGACATATTTACAGCGTATATTTAAATGTCTGGAAAGCATTTAAAGGTGTCCAGGTATGTTATCTAACTGCAGCCTATCATCATCAGCCTGAAAAAGAATTCTAATTCTAAGAAGAAATTCTAAATTTGTTGTAACTTTTTCTTCATTTAGCCTAGGAGCTACAAAAGAATGCTAAATTTTTCATTCTTAGCTGTTAGTTGCTCATTAATAGCTAAGGCATATGACCATAATGTACAATGAAGTAGTTGCCTTTCCAGTATTAACATTTTATTATTAATATTGGATTTTTAAGACGTTGGAAAAATAGTCTAATTCAAGGACTTTTGGGCTGCAGTTCATTTCATTTCAGTTCACACATTTCAGGCTTAATTTTTATAGTGTGAAATTAAGGTCAAATTAAAAGAAAAAACTTCTTTAATAGGCTGCATTTTTTATTAAGAGAGCAGTCTCATTTGGCATTCAAAAGTTGACTTACATTTGATTCCTGGAGGAGACATGTATGTTGATTGTTATAATATCATTTGAGGAATTCATCTGGATATCTAAAGTTCTTATGTAGTTGATAGTTAAGGAAGAAAAGTACCTCATATTTCACTTCTTTAGGTAGTTTTGATAAAAACAGTTGAGGTTAGCTGGAATTTGTAAGGATGTGTTACATGTCAGCAAAAAGAGAGACAAAGAACCTTGATGATTTTTATAGTTTATGTATGTGTATAAAAAGTGTCATTATTCTTTTGATGTTACTGCAAAAGACTTACAAACCCTTCCCCCCCACTCTGAACACATCTTCAAAATTCATTGTCTTAAGTTTGGCAAAAAAAGTGGCTAATCTTTGGAATATAGTAACAGGTAGTTTGGCGACATTTTGGTAAGGCGATAAAGGTTACTAGCTAGGACTTTAGCAGTGTACATGGATAAAGTCAAGAGTGTGCGCAATGCCATTTTTGTGCAATTCTGGGATGTTTTTTTAAGTGAAAATTGGTTGACGTGTACATGGATATCGTGTATGTGCTATTCTTAAAAACGCGTTAAGAAGTTTGCGATTCTGCATTTTCTCCCAATTTCTCACATAATCTTCGTCATCATTAAGCGCTTTTGTTCCATAAAGTTCTAGCATAAGCGTAATTCGGCTAGCAGATTGTTGGAAAAAAATGTTGAGAAGAAAAAAAAAATGCCTTTACTTCGTGAAAACAAAATGGTGTCCAAATAAAAACTAGCAGGTTGCTGTAGTAGGGTTGGTCCCCAAAAAATCACCAAGTTACCATAATCCAAAGATTAACCAAAAAGGTATGCTTTGAATATTATGGCCAAATAGGGGACAGTTTTTCCATACTTATGCTTACTTCCCACTTTCCGTATGATAGTTGGAAGCTAGTTGGAGGTAGTTAGATAGTAGAAGCTGGGTATTATTTTCGGGTTTTTATCAAAACTACCTAAAGTCATGTCATATTTTTACTATTTTTTTCAAAGGTGATTTATACCTATAAGAATTCAATCAATAATGTATTTGCTGCCATTTTGTTTGATGACCTTTTTCCATCGTTTAACAAGATTCATAATTCACGCTGGTAGAATGACCTGTCTTTAGAAGCGAAAAACTGTACCAGTTGCCAATTTATAGCCTCATCAGAATCGAATATTTTATGATTCTAGGAATTCTGCAAAGAGCAAAATAAATGGTAATCTGAAGGTGCAAGATCAGGCGAGTACAGTGGGTGGGGCAACACATCCCAACTATGCTCCAACAGCTTTTGGCAGGTAACCAAACTCATGTGTGGTCTTGGTGAAACATAATGCTTTTATGATTCACGAGTTCTGGCCACTTTTGATTGATTGCATTGTTCAACTTGTCCAATTGGTGACAGTACGCGGCTGAATTAATTGTTTGATTCCTTGATAAGAGCTCAAAATGCACAACACCTTTGAAATCCCGACCACTGACAGCATAACCTTTTTCCGGTGAATGTTCACTTTGGACGTGGATTGAGGTAGTTCATTGTGCTGTTTCCAAGACCACTTGCGTGTGACGTTATTGTACACAATCCATTTCTCATCACCAGTGACCATTACGCTTCAGAAAAGGGTCGTTTTTTTCACATTTGAATTCCAGATGCTCAAATATTTCCCCAAATGGATCTCCTTCAGCTCATGAGGGACCAAAACTTCAATCTTGCGTATGAATCTGAGCTTCTTTAAATGGTCATGAATGGTTGATTGAGCAATGTGTAGTGTGCAATCGTGTCGTGTACCTCGGGTTAGACTTATCCATTGCCTTTATTTCACCATCATCATCAGCCACCAATGGCCTTCCTGACTGAGGCACATCATTCACATCAAAATCGCCGGAATGAAATTTTACAAACCAGAGCTGGCACTGATGTGTCTTTAGAGCATTGTTCCTATAAACTTTACTCAACTTTTCACAAGCTTGTGTCGCATTCTTGCCTTTGCGGAAATAAAAAAGCAAAATATAGCAAAAACCAACAGCTTTTCCCTCCATTTTCAACTCCATATCAAATCATTTGAATCGAACAATTTTCTGTTTATTGAATGGGTTAGAAGTGTCAACTTATATAGTATTTTAGTGAGGTGCATGTGCATGGTGCTTCTACTTCAAAAAACGCACTAATGGTATCTGTTAACAAAATATGACATGACTTTCCGATCAGCCCAATATATGAACTTTTGCAGTAACAGCCAATGATAATATCTTATTTCATTTTTAAATTTGTTTCCTTTTGAGATTTCAGATGCATTCATATGTATATTTTCAGGGTGACCGTGTCACATTTGATGAATTTCGAGATTGGTTATTGCGTAGACGGGATGCCACTTCGTTGACACGTTGGTTATTATTAGAGAGAAGTACAGTAACATTGTCAAATGAGTTAGAAACACCAACATTTTATCAAACTTTAGCTGGAGTTACTCATTGTAAGTTAGTTTTAAATATTATACAATTATTTTGCATTCTAATGCATTGTGAAAATGGTATGTTAAAATGTTATAAACTGATAAATTAGCAAAATGTAAAAGTTTTGTTGGGTTTGCTTTTGAATCATAAAATTTTCCCTTTTTTTTGCACTTCATTTTTAGTGCAAGAAACTGACATAATTGATCTAGAGAAGAGGTATTGGATGCTTAAACCAAATTCAGGTAGTGGCCGCTTGGATTTAGAAACTCTGAGACCTCTTATCTGTCCCCCCATTCCAGTTGTGCTATGTGAAGGTACTAATTTTATCCTCTTTTATTATTAACTAATTTAAATACTTGTAGTTCCTGTTTTTTATAAATATTTATGTGTAGTACAATCAGTTCTTGATTAAGCATGGTAATATCAGGCACAGTGTTAACATTTAACCTGAAATTGTTGTTATGCAAGGTATCGGTAAGTACAGTTTTGTATCTGCATAAGAGTGGGTGTGAAATAGATAATTAGGGGCTGTGCAATAGATAACTTATATTCTTCCTGCATTCATTTAAAAAATTCTATGAATTATTTTGTATTGTAAGAGTTTGTAAATCTCTCATTACTGCAATATATTCACAGTTAATAAGAAATTCTTTTATGAAAAAGGTGTGTAGAAGAGTTAGCCATTTCTGTTTCATGTAAAATGGAAATAATAAAATATGAATTTGTTATTTTATCTATGACTAGAAGGTGTTCAGTTATATCTAAACATTAATATCATTATAGTAACTTCATGTCTTTAATTTTATGCAGTTAATGGAGAATTTTTAAAATTTCACCATAGCTGTGCATTGAGCAGATTTAATATTAAGTATTGATCTGAGAATTGCGTTTTTATTTTAAGTAAAGTTACAATTATTATTACAACCAAAGCCACATCTAATTCATTTTAGTTAAGCTCAACTCTTCTTAACTGTTTCACAGTCATTTAGATTCAAAACTGTTTACCTGTCTTTTGCTGGTGTGGCTATTGATCATCTCTCTTTTTCTGTGTTCTTAGTTAGAAATAACTAAGCAGTTAAATATATCCAACTCTGATGGCATTTCTATTCTGTATTAAAACAAAGTCTAAAATTCACATAAAGCCTAAATACGTATTTGTGTATATGTATAAATGATACCGCTGCGTGCCTACAGCATGGCATAACTCTTAATACCTTTATTCAGTTTTCACCATAAATTCCCTTTCGCATCTCTATTGAAACTCACAAACTGGCATCAGGGTGTCTTCCCTGCCACGTGTCTCTCTGTTTGGGCAGAATTTCAATTTACATTTGCAACAGGAGTAAAAGAATTAGCTATTTTTATCTTGCATAAAATTGGAGTAACCAAATAGTAATATAATTATTATTTTACTCAATTTCATTTTATATTGTGACTAGTTGTTCAATTGTATTTGAAAATTAGTATCATCATAATACATTCATTACTTTAATTTTATGTGATTATGAGGAGTTTTATGAATTATGTCACATCTATGTATTGAGAAAATTTAAGGAAGTATTAGGAAGATAATTATATATCTGCTTTAAGTGAAAGTACTATGCATATCGTGTATTTTTGAAATTCACTGTATATCCATGCATAAAGCAGAGAATTAAAAAAAATTTTTTACTACTGAAGTTTTGGGATCAGTTTATATGTAAGCTCAAAATGATTTACAAATAATTTGATCACACAAAAAAAGATATTTTAATTTACTTGATAGGTATTAATCTAATATCTCTTTATCAGTGTCAGACTTATAATTGCCAAGCAAATCTCAGAGGTCTCTCTCTACTACTAGCAAATTTGTGTGAATGTCTTCATCCATCTTCTGGCCATTACCTTTGTTGTAACCTTTCGATAGATGATATCATCTTCAGTTTTGTTCATAGCATTCCTTAGCAAAATTGATAGCTTTTAATTTAAAGCTAGCAGAATAGGCAGAACCTTTAATGTCAGGACATTTTTCAGTATTTTTAGCAGAAATGAAGAATTGCATTAGTGCCAGTTGATGCTTAAAATTCAAGAGAATTAAAAAAGAAAAGCTCTTGGCTCAAAAGAGTTTTTTCATTCCATAGGGCCTCTTATCTCAAATTTTTAAATGGAAGCTGGAGGTAAATTTGGGGATTTTAAGTTCTTCTAATAGGTCTATTTAAATTAGATGACCGTTTTCTGTATTCACAAAAAAGTTTACATATTTGGTAATATATATAGCTGAATTTATAGGGCAATTTGAAATCCAGCTTTACGTGGTTTTTACTTTGACTGAATTTTTGCTACATAATCTTACTTCTCAGCTTATACTTGGATCGGCTTATATTTGTGAAATCTATGTTGTTATAGGCTTAATGTACTTAAGTTCCTCAAATTATTTACATATATATATGTATGCAGGTATATTTAATGCATTTGATGAAAATCAAGATGGACACATTGACTTTAAAGAAATGGCTTGTGGTATATCAGCTTGTTGTCGTGGCCCTCTAACTGAAAGACAAAAATGTAAGTCTGTATTAAATTATTCTTGGAAATTATGTTAGGAACTAATTTTTATTTTATAATTAATATCTCTGCTCATTTGAATTAAGTACCCTTTTACAATAATTTCAGTAATATAATATCATTTTGGCTCAACATAATTATGATAGAAGCTTTAATATATTGTACTGAAAATATATCATTTATTCAGTTTTTCTTAATTTCAATCGCAGTTCATGCAAAACTTAAAATTAATATATTTAGAAACTGTCATAATTGGTATGCTCATGATGCTCATGCAGAATAGTAAAAAATATCAAGAATATGAAATATAGCTGCCACCTCTTCCTGTTTTCTATCGCTTCTCTCAATTTCTCCATAAATCTTCAGTCTCCTGGTTTTAAATTATTAGCTTTCATTAAAAACAAAATTTTTCTGGGTAATAAATGAGATTTATTAAATCATTAAGATTTATAATTCTCTTACCATCCTTAATGATTTTTAATATAATGTGTCTCATAAAATTTTATTTCATCTGAATTGTCTTAATCTACCGTAAAAATTTATAGAATTCTTTGTGAAGATCCAAGCAATGTTAAGTCAGTTACAATTTGTATTTAATCCTGTTTTATGTATTATGTATGTTTTACATTAATACAGTACTAAGTTTATCTGAACAGCAGTATTTGCATTAATTATTAATTTTATATTCAGTGTATTTAAAAATACTCTGATAAATAAAAGCTTCCCTACTCAGAATTTTCTTAGTATGAAAATATAAAAAAATTATAAAATCATAGCTTGAACATATTTAGAATATGTAATATTACATTTTTTTTTTACATCAGAATCATATTATAATAATGCACAGTAAAAGGAATCTAAGTCAGGTTGGAATTCTTGTAAATTAACATCACTGCACAGTGTGAATGGTTTTCCTTATTTTCAAGGATATGATATTTCTTTCAGTGATATTATTGATTCAAGTGATGTGATATTGTTCATCAAATATAGTATATTAAAAATGAAGTTATATGTCTTATAATGTAACCTCCCTTTCTTATATTCAGTGTTTATTAGAAAGAAAAAGGTGTAGGTTGAAAATTGGTTATAAATTTGGTTTGGAAATTTTATGCCATTAAAGTAATCAAAAATGCAAGAAGGAAACAATTTCTTTGTAACAGTTTGGTTTAAATATTGCTGCATGTTACAAATATATTATCCTTCTATTTTTTTCTTTTTTTAGCCCAAAGGGCATTGGCCCAGAAGGGCTATTAATTTCGTTTTGGCATTTTGCGTTGATTCACTTTAAATGTTGGTTCACTTTTTAAATTATTGCCACCAAATATTACCACGCTGTGTTACAATTAAAGAAATAAAATAATGAAGAATCTGCATAAATGTATGTTTCTCCCATTATGACAAAACAATGGTACCTAGAGCCATCCAATTTTGAATAACATAATCTTCCACCGAGCATGGGCATCTGGAAGCTCTAATTTGGAATTTGAAATTTGTTTTATTATTAATTTCGTAACACTTTAATGGATTTTTGAGTAAAAAACTGAACGATTTTAAAGCAGGCAATGGCAATGCTATACGGGAAAAAGGAAACATTTTTATCACCAGGGCACGAGACTGTGTATCAGAAATTCTAAAGATATGCTCATTTTAAAATTATTTTGTAATATTGCTATTAAATTGGATTTTATGGTTTAAGTGCAAAGAACATGATATTTAATAAATAAAGGTAACACACAAAACGTTAAAAAAAGTTTTTGGGCATAATATAAAATCTAAAAAATTTTTTTAAACAGAGGAAGACTAACTGTCATAATTCTGCAGATAGATGTTGAGGCTACAAAAGTGGGCTGAACGAATCACTGAATCGAATGTGAAATTCTATTCGATGAAACAGAAAAGATGTTTAAGCAGCAACCCATGGAATAGTAGTATTTATCATCATCCATGAGAGTGAAATTCAATTAAACAGTTTCAGTTCAGAAAGTTGTGTCTGGTGTTTTGAGAGAGGAAGAAAGTGTTGCTTGTGAATTTTTTGACTCATGGTAGTATAATAAATTCTGCAGTGTATTATAAATTTTAAATAAACTGCACTGTGCAGTCCAAAACAAAGAGCATGCTGAGAGATCATTTTGCTTCATTATAATGCTTGTCTGCACATGGTTAAAAGAACTCAAGATCTTCTCATGTCATTTCACTTGGAACACTTTGACCACCCTAGTGGCCAGTTCCTGCATTTGAAGAAGCATCTCAGTGGTATTCATCACATCAATGATGATGAGGTATAAACGACTGTGTTGCTGTTGGTGTCTAATCAGGTGGCAGAAAATCAGGTGAAGAGAGAATTTTAAAACTTCTTGTGCTATGCAATAAGTGCCTTAATATTGTTGGTAATTATGTAGAAAAATAGACTGATGTACTGGCTTTCATATAAAAATAAAATTAGTAAGATAATTCCATTTGTTTCTTTTCTTTTATTTCCAAACAGCTATTACTTTAAAAATATGCATCATACCATCAGGTTTACCATATAAGGTATCTCTCCTGCCTTCCTAGCGTGCCTTCGTGGTGTAGTGGTTCTGCATGCTGTGCTGGTATTCCAGAGGTGCGCGGTTCGATTCCCGGTGCAGGTGTTGCTAATTTTTCATCTTGCCTGCCTCCAAAAAATACCTAATGTCTCTACATGACACCCAAACTAAAAGGGTGTTGGGTGAAGATTCTCCACACCCAGAATTTGGCGATTGGGTCCCCTAAAAACCCCAGTTGCCCTTTAAAAGGGGGGTATATAAACAGGGTTGCCACGCTACCTGGAAAACCTGGAGAACCGGGAAAAGTCAGGGAATTCGAAAATTGACCAAAATATTCAGGGAAAAGTCAGGGAATTTAAGTATTTTTGTCAAAATCTGGAAAGTCAGGGAAGTTCATACAACGATCCCGCCAAAAAAAGCGATTTTTGCACCGGACGTCGGAAGAGGTAACTTTTTTGGCGAATTATGTATCACGTGAGTGTCATTCGGGTAGCTGGCATAGAGCCAATTTTCGCAGCTCCAATTTGATTGTCTTTAGAAAGGCAAAGCAACTTTCCCGCAACTTTTGGTTTCCAGTATTCTCGAGAATCGCATGTGCAGTGCATGTTGAACTAAAGAAAAGTACCTGTTCTCGTATAAAACAAAATTGGCTTTAATCCTAGTATACGGTAACCATGGAGGTTAGAATCAAAGAATATGTATTGTAAAGAAGGAAAACCATCTCTGGGCAACAGACGTGGCTGTGGCTCCGTTCCAATCGTAGAGGGAAAACAGCAGTGCATGTCGATGAATATCTGTCGCCAAAGCTCGAAACCGGTGTCGAAGTTCGAAGGTCACGTTATCAAGAGTTCATAAAATTGAATATCGTTTTAAATTTCTTTAAACTACTTGCGCTTAAAAAGACGTGCCACGCACGTCAACATGCTTTTGTCTCAAACCGCGAGCGACGTGAACACCACGTCGATAAGCATTTATCGCAAAAATGAAAATAACGTGGTGCACACGACGCCTAACAACGAGATTGTTTATTTCTCGAGTTACAGCTCTGGATTGCACTCGCAGATGCGGAGCGGCGTAAATGAGACACTTTACGGCTTGTTATATTGTAGCGCACGGCACCGCAACCGTGAAGTTTAGTCTTAGCGCAAGTGGTTAAACTCTAAAGGAAAAGAAAATATTTTTTGGCGCAAGTAAATTAATTCATGGATTAGTTATTTTCAGGGGGAAAAAAACTACGAAAATCCGTTTTTAAAATTATTGCGAAAAATCCAAGAAGAAACGTCCTTGATAAAATGTTTTCTTCTTGGATTTTTTTTTCGCAATAATTTAAAAACGGATTTTCGTAGTTTTCTTTTGTCAAAAAGCGTTTTTTAACACGTGGTTTCTCAATTTCCTGTACACATCGCGGAGAGGGAAATTCTGGCCGCCAGGTTCCGTCGCCAAATCCCTTGGCAATTTTCCTCCGCATTTCTAGCGGCGTAATAGCATTTTACTTGTAGGAACCTTTTTTCTTTACATAGACGTTCTTTGGTTAGATAATAATGGGATTTGGCGACATCTTGATGCGCAGTAAAACGGGTCATTTGGTCTTGGCGACAATTTTCAAAATGTGCCAAAGCCTTACCGTATACTAGAATTTTACCGCAAAAATCTTTTTAAACCTTTTTTTTTTTTTTTCTTTCTTTTTAATAAATACCTTGCCACTTTGCAGTAAAATAAAAAATAGTAATCAGTCATCTAGGCTAGCCATGTAATATAACTATATTCCCTAAAATATCGTGATTATTCTAATTCAATTTTTAAGTAATTATTTTTATGTTATTCATATAATTTAATGTTGCTTCTTCCCTCTTAAGTTATTTATCATTAGTAAATAATATTTCCAAATTTCAGGAAATTTTCTCTGGCATTAATCCTGAAATTAATTATAGCAGTATGATGACATACCATCACGAAATTTAATGCACATATTTTTTCCTTATGTATGCTGCAAAATAATATAAAATACCTCAATTTATTAAAATAGATTTCTTTCTTTCGTTTAGCTGCAGAATGTCTGCAAAAAAAGCCTATTTTATTCCAGATTGGGAAGATTCTAATCTCAATCTTCAGTGGAGAAAACAACAACTATTATAATTATATTTGTGTTTTCAAGTGTTAAGGTGCCTTTTAAGAACATACCTCACGCAAATTAAATTTACCTAAAATCTAACTTAACTATTTAGCATTGTGATTTATAAGGACCGGATTAGCCTCGTGTTAAACTGGTGATGATCATGAGTAATAATTAAATAAAACATACATTTGTTATCCAATATATATATCTTAAATTTTATTAAGTTTCTTAAGTGGAAAACTAAACAAAATTATCAAACAAAGTATACCAAGAATAATTAAGAATAAATGTCCTCTGGGATTTATTGAATAATTAAGTGAATTTGCTACACAATACAAGTAATACCATAATTAATTTACCTCTTAGCACAGCCAACGTACATTACGCGGATAGACTGGAATTTTCTTGAAACACACCTGGAAAACCTGGAAAAGTCAGGGAATTTCATTCTCCTGTTTGAGTGGCAACCCTGTATAAAGTGTTTCTCCTGCCTTCCTAGTATGGTGTAGTGGTTTTGCATGCTGGGCCGGTATTCCAGAGGTCTGCGGTTCGATTCCCGGTGAAGACGTTGCTAATTTTTCATCTTGCCTGCCTCCAAAAACTACCTAATGTCTCTACAACCATTCACATCTCTAGTTAGATTTTGGGCCAACATTTATACTCAATGCCAAGTGATCTACTGTTAAACTATAAAGTACTTTCAATTTCTCCCCATTCTGTGTTTTTATAAAATTAATATAAGTAATGAAATTTAATACTGCCATTATTAACTTTCAATGATTAATCACTTTTTGTTTTTTACCTTGTTATCAAATTGCTGTTCCTGTATCTTTTTTCTGCAGTCTGCTTTAAAATTTTTGATCAAGATCGAGATGGCATTTTATCAGAAAATGAAGTTAAACATATGGTCAGTGCTCTTCTCTTTGTAAAGAATGAAAATAAAAATCAAAATAGAAATGAAATCATGGTAAGATAGTGTTCCTTGAATTACGTTTTTTGAATATGCATTGGATTTTTCTGTAAAATAATTAAAGTAAATGTTACATACATTATATATTAATTTTTGTATATCTCTAGACACTTTTATCAGTATCTGAAGTCACTGAAGTTGCAAATGAAATAATGGCCAATCATGACTCCTCACAGGTAAAACATTAATTTCTTTAATTTTTCATTTTCTTTATTTAACTATGAATAATATATTTGACATGAATGAATAATGGCTGGTTAAAATTTAAAAAAAAAAATTCTTCTGTATACTCTGAAGAGCCAAAACATTATGATCACATACTCAGCAAGGTGTTGCACGACATTTGGCGTGCAAAACAGCTGCAACTCTCTTTGGCATGGATGTCACAAGTTCTTGGTTGATGACTGGAGATAGATTGTACCAAATATCTAAACAGCGGTCATGCAAAGTCGAGATGTTCCAACATGATGGTGTTTAAGCTGTGGACTGCCGCCCCATGACATCCCAAATGTGCTCTGTGGGTTAAGTTCCGGCGAGTTAGGTGGCCAGGACATTAATTGGAATTCATCCTTATGCTCTTCGAACCACTCCAACACCATTCAGACCATATGACATGGAGCAGTGTCCTGCCGTAAGATTTCATTTCCAGATGGGAAGACAGATGCTGTGTAAAGGTGCAACTGATACCATTGATGTTCAGATAGTCCATAGCTATCATGGTCTGTTCTGCCACAACTAAGGGTCCCAGCCACCTATGAGAATGTCTCCCAAAGCATAATACTGCCACCACCAGCTTGTATGTAACCTGCTGTACAGGGGGGGGGATGATCAACTCTTCGTCTGGAAGACTGTTCAGCCTGGTATAACCATCAACGTGATGAATGAAAAATCATGATTCATCCGATGGGGCAACTGTCTTCTACTTATCCATTGTTCACAATTTCTATGTTCCCGTGCCCACTGTAGGCATAGTTGACAATGATGCTTGTTCAATAGTGGGACAGGTGTAGGATGTCTGCTGCCCAGTCCCATATCCATCAGTGTCCGCTGAACTGTGTGTTCCAAAACACTTGCACTTGGACCTCCATTGTATCGGGCTGTCAGCTGAGCGACTGTCTGGCACCGATTTGGCTGTACTATATAGGACAGTCTCCGACGTCTTCTTTCTTTGATGATGCATGTATGTCCAACACCTTAGCATCTACAACTGGTTTCATCATCATTTATGCATTTTGCGTAAATACTAACAGTGGCAGATTGTGAACAACCAACAAGTCGGGCAGTTTCGGAGTCTTCAGGCTATTACAACTTGCTCTCTATCAAGTTTGCCTAGATCAGCAGCCTTTCCCATCACTCAGAAAAGTTAAATGCAATAATGATTCCTTACCTTCTCCAGCAGCAATTAAATATCATTCCCACTTAATCACCTGCACTCCACGTCATTTCAGAAGATTCATTGAAAAATGTGGGAATGATTATAATGTTTTGACTCGTAAATGTATGTGTTTTTATAGCATTTTAAAGTCGTGTATTATTTTCATATTTTTTATACTTAATATAATTGCTAATGACAGAAGTACATTGTAAGCTGCATAGTAAACTTTATACTCATTTATTATGAATAGTAGTTGCATGAAGATTTTGAATAATGACTTTTCAGTGAAATGAGTGTCTTCTTTGCCAACTCTAACTCTGATGGACTTTTTTTTTTTTTTTTTTTTTTTTTTTTTTTTTTTTTAATGGGAAGAGACCTAGAGAAATTATCTGTTCATCAAAGCCTTATTTTTCATATTTATTTGTTTAACGTTAAAATCGCAGAAGCGATCTATAAAATTATTGAGCAAGATATGCTTTTAGCAATTGTGTACTGTAATAGTAACTATATTTCACTATTATAGTACACAATGTTATCATTAAAACAGGTTGCCATGCTGAATAATACAAATGCAAATTTTCTCATAGTAATAGACTTCAGAACTAAAGCATTGTATATGTAATTTATAGTGTATTTTTATGCTGTGTACATCAGAAATTATTAAGCTTTGATGTCATACTAGAACTTAATAAATACTCTGATATTTAATTGCTTTATATTGTATTTTTGTTTACTGCTGCCATTAATAAAAGATAAAATATAGACTATAAGATTTTATATAACATGAGCTTTGGGGTCCCAAATACCTACATTTCCATGCCACCCAAAGTTGTGCTAGATACTGAACTTGTAGTATGTAGGGTATTTAAGCTTAAACTCTCTGAGCGCCATGATCAGCTTTATCCAGTAATGAGATTTGGTGTTACTTTGTGTATATTAGCTTATAATTTAATATATATATTCTCTATTTCTTTAATAATATAAATAAGTATCGTCTTGAAGAATGAAAGTTTATGAAAATAGGGACTAAAATAAGTAATTATACAAATTTAGCTAATAAATTCTGTTTAAATACAGGTCTCCATGACTGATCCAAGGATCCATGCCACTGAGGGTTAATTTTAGTATGTCATGCATAAATGCACTATTTGAATTCTGCATTATAACATATCTCTTAAATTGTATTTTTAAGTATTTTTTATACATTTAGTAATTTAAAACCTTCTGTATTAGGCTGGAGCTTTAACTTTAGATGAATATCTATTCTGGACGGTTGGCAACAATCTTCCTTTAGAATTCATGAATGTCTTGTTTCAGGTAAAGTTTAATTGTGTTGTCATATCTGTATTTAAAAGTGATTAGGATATTTAATATAAAATCATGATAAGTCTATTTATTTATTTTAGGTTTGTCATGTTGTGTTTGGTTTACGGCCATATTCTAAAGAGGAGGAAGGCGAGATCATTAGGTACCAAACTTTTTGTCATTTTTAAACTTATAAAAATATTATATTTAATATTAATTATACTATATCAAAATATTCTATGTAATGTTATTAATATAGCAAAATGTTTTATTTAAATTCAACAAGAATTAAATTCCTGTCCTCAAAAGTATTTATTAAGCAGGTTGTCTGTATGAAATTCAGTTGTAAAGATTCTGAAACTATGCAAGAAAAAATACAGTTAAAAGTTATAGTTAAAAGTCCATAAACAGTGTAAACTGTAACTATGTTGTTGTAACTATGTTGTGTAAACTGCAAGTAGGATAACCAGATGTTAAAAATTAAATAGAATGCCCGTTTTTGGTTTATCGGTTAACTTATTAATTTAATAGATTTAATAGAAATCCAAGATGTGTATATTTTAAATTTTTAGTTTTGGCATATTTTGCCCCCCTCCCCCAAATTTCTTGCAGTTTGCCCTTGTGGTCCCCCCTTTTTTTCGCATCTGGTTTATTCCTAATTGAAAATGGGATGCATTTTAAGCATATTTCTGCGTTATATATATATAAAGCATGTTTCGGGATTTGTTTTCCAGAACATGCTTGAGAAGTGACGGAAAAGAAGTATTTTCCCCCCTGTGAGATTTTAGCATAAATTAAATTGCATATGAATGGTTTAAAATATTTTAAATCAAAGTATTGTTACACAATAACACATTAATTTTTTAAAAAGCCCTCCAAGTTCGGACAATTTTTGGTACTTTGATTATCCACACCCCATCCTAAAAATCATGAGTTGTATGGCGATTAATTTTTTGTCAAGCTATGGCCATTTTTTCAAAAATTATATCAAACAGCAACCAGTTAACAAAAAATATCCATAATAAAACACCCAACCTTTTTTTCTCCTGCTGTTCTCCCTATATACACAACAATCTCTTATACCTTAAGCACCAGAGCATTACACAACTTGGTGCTGAAAACACTGTTGATATCCTTATGTACACAGGGATCTGTTTTTGCTTAAAAAATATAAAATTGCACAAATGTGGCAGTGTGCTTGAATATCATTCCATAAACTTGCTTGTTTAAGTATAACTTCATGGAATGCAAATTTTTGCATTTTCTATTGTTGAACAAAATGGCATGCACCATTTGAAAGGAAAATACAAAGCTTTGTTTCATCAGTTGGCTTACTCTTCAGTCCCATTCTGATTCTTTACAAGGGGGAAAAAGTACTCGAGTGTAACAAAAACAAGCACTAATCAGAATAATGAACATCAGTTAAGAAGGTGAAAATTAGCTCTTGTCTGCTGCATTTGCACATGTGTGGTATGCCACACAAATACATTTTGGTGATGTCATTAGTTACCTATGTTGTTGACATTAATGTATTGCCTTGTGAATACTTTTCAGGAAATGTGAGTAATCAGAAAGAAATGGATTTTCATATTGCACTAATATTTCTCTCAGAAAATATTTCATAATTTTTATGTGAAAATAGTTTTTCAAAATGCTTGACTTTAAATTAAAATTTCAGATTAACCCATGCATTGGAATAATCAATCAAGTTTATTAATGTATTTTTAATAACAGGTCTTGGATTGAAAGAGAAGAAAGGAGAGGCATGCAAATAGGACAGTTTTGGTATTTAATTGCTAGTGATTGGTGGATATCATGGAATGAATACGTAGACTTTCAGGTTCTTCTTCTTATTTTTTTTTTATTGGAGAAAGAATTCATAAAAATTTGTATTTATTTTCTGAATGTAATTGTAATGATCAATTATTAATCTTTTAACTAGTGGAGTTATAAAAAGGTTGCATAATTAATCGCATGTATGTACTGTTCTCTTAATTGTAAAAAGAAAGTAGTTTTAGCACAATTGAAATAAAACTGCACACTAGAAAGTAGATATGCATTGAATGGATCCCAAAGTAAGATTAATAGTTTTGGAGCTATAGAATAAAGAAAGGAACTTTTTTTTTTTTTTTTTTTTTTTTTTAAGTAAATGGTAGTGATTTTGTTCTTTCAATAAAAATTTTTCTTATTGTAGCATGTCCAGTGTACTTTTAACCTGTGGTCTTTAAATACAATTTGCTATTCATTTGTATATGAAATTTTTGTATCGTTGTTTTAAGTGTCAAAACTGCCAGTTTTCCTCTTTTTTTTTTTTTTTTTTGTAACATTTCTTAATCTATTTGTATGTCCTGAATCATCTGGTTTTTAATTTTTAGCCTTTACCAATGAAAATATTTCCCAGCGTTAAATTTAATTTATTGAAACTTAGTCCTGCAAATTCCATCTGCCCCTACCCCTAGTGATTTTCATTATAATTTTCCTCTGAAATTTTATTTGATTTTATGAATCTTACTTTACTGTGGACATTTATAGAATTTCATTTGAAGATTCAGCCCAATGTTTAATTAGTTAATATTGGTAATTAATTTTTTGTACTTCAATATATGGTACACTATTAAGTTTATTTACACAGTAGTTTGTACATTAATTGTTAATTTTATTTTCATCGCGTTTAAAAGTACTTTGATAAATTAATCCTTTGAGTGCTAACTGCTTGAAGCACTTCGCTCGAAAGATAAAGGAGATGTAATTTTGGATTTATTTTTCACTGTTTGAAAGATTTTCCTCTCCTGATTACAGTAAAAATCAAAATACTGCAGAACAAAATAATGAACCGAATATGTCCAAAATAAAAATTATAGGTTTTTTTTTTTTTTTTTTTTTTTTTTTTTTTTTTTTGTTTTTTTTTTTTTTTTTTTTTTTTTTTTTTTTTTTTTTTTTTTTTTTTTTTTTTTTTTTTTTTTTTCTTTTAATATTACTTGAAGTGTACCTTTTATTTATCAAGCAATAGTATGACCAAAGCTTCAACGTCAAAACCTACACAGCAGAATTGAAAAGGATATTGATTCACTTGAAAATATCAATTTAGATAATTCTAAATTGATACAGAAATATTCAGCATTTGAAGTGAAAGTAATTTTTTAATATGTATAAATATGTTATAGATAGATGATGGAGAATTTTCCAGTGTAAAGTCAATCATGGATATTTTATGGCTTTTATTTGAAATGTGTTTGATTAAATATGCACATAGTAATCATATTGATTTGAAGCAGGATGCCAAGATATTAGAAGAGAAGAATTTAAAGGTTAAAAGCAACTAAAGGGTTCTTAATTTTCTCATTAAAGGGCATTGTTATCTAATTATTTTATTGACTGTTAAGGTTGTTAGTCTTAGAAATATGGGCATGCGGAAGACCAAATTTGGAATTTGTTTTATTGTCGATTTCATATTTTGTAAAACGTTAACGAATTTTTGAGAAACAAACTCAACGATTTAAAAGCGAGCAATGGCAACACTCTATGGGGGAAAGCTTTTTATCTCCAGCGTGCGAAACTGTGTATCGGGAATCCTAAAGATATGTCATTCTAAAATTATTTTGCGACATTGCTATTGAACTGAATTTTTTGGTTTAAGTGCAAAGAGCATGTTATATAATAAATAAAGGTAACCCACAAAACGTTAAAAAAACGCCCCTTTAGACGTAATTTAAAATCTGAAACCCTTTTTTTTTTTTTTTTCTTTTTTTTTTTTTTTTTTTTTTTATGTTTTTAGGTTATGTATTTAAAGAAATGCAAAAGTTTTAATATTCTTTCATGAAAATTGTATAATATATTTTTCAGGGAACTGTTTCGAGTGGTTGTTGTACACCTACCTACCCTTCCGGCAGCCTTAAGCGAAACAGCAAGATGCAACGTCGAGTTGATGGAAGTGTGGCACAGATGGATGATGGAAGTTCAAATGTTATTTTATCAAGTGTAACAAATGTGGGAGATGATGTTACATCAACATTATCTGAAAGTATTAGTAATATTTTTAATTCATTGAATGCGGATGGTAGCACAAATGCATTTCCAAATAAAAATTTCACAGAACAGTATGGAAATGGATTGTCAGTAAAGAAAACTTCTAATTTACAAGTAAGAATTATTGCCACATGGTTTATTATTTGTCAAAATTATATGTTTCCAAATTGAGCTGAAAAATAAAAATGTGAATAGTGTTTCAGGGAAAAGTAATTTTTTACTTATTAAAAGTAATATGTGTTAATTATATATATATATGTGTGTATTAATTTTTAATATTCTATATTTAAAATTATTTAGAAGTTAATATTGAGTAAAAATAGTTTTATATTAGAGATACAAAAAACTGTTTATCTTTTAAAGCATGGAATAGTCTGAGGTGGCAGATGTGCTGCTTATAAATTTCTGATTTTTTTAATAACAATTAAAAGATTTAATTTTGCTGTCAGCAGGAAAATAACTTTTTAAGAAATGTATATTATCTCAATCTTCTTTTTTTGGTTTATATACAGCTCCTTCAGATGGAAGATGTGTTCTGAATAAATGAGTTAATTCATTACCTGAAAATTATTTGCCATACTTTTCAATGCAGATGCAAAATGGACTGCTTTTAAACCTTGTGAAATGTTGGTTGTATTCATTTCTGATTTTACAAGTTTTCCTTCATTTGCTGACTTCGAATACTTTTTTTTTTAATTAAAAAATCTGATAGATCTCTGCTGTTAAAAGAATGATTGCTTTTTCATGGTTATAGTATCACTGGTGAAATTATAAAAGAATTGAAACTAAAAGGAATTTTAAGTAATGATTCATATTGATCACCTCATAATATAAATATACTTCTTTGCAAATATTTTTGTTTGAATATCAAAAGCACAAATAAATCTGTAACATGATTTTAATTCTGTAATGGATGTGCTTATATGTACACATTAAATAGAAAATTTAATAAGATTAATTTCAAAACTTCAGTTTCTTTCTCCCACTTTTATATTTACATTCATATTCTATTTATTTCTATTCATATCTGTTATTCATATTCTATTTATTTCTTTATTTCTATTCATATCTGTTATTCATATTCTATTTATTTCTTTATTTCTATTCATATCTGTTATTCATATTCTATTTATTTCTTTATTTCTATTCATATCTGTTATTCATATTCTATTTATTATAAATCTGTGGTTTTTAATGCTATTTCCAACTCATTTTCAAATACTTTCTGCTCTTCAAAAAATATAAAAGTGTGATGAGGCATTAATGTTCTTTAACTATGTATTTATTTCCAGATATAAGAAACACAAAAATACTTAGAATTTTGTTACTGGGAAAATAATTAAAGGAGAATTTAATAGTAGCTTCTTAGAGTATTATTTTTTTATTAATGGCAAATTTGGGATATCTTATCCTGTTTCAGGTTATGCTGGAAATATTTTCTTTTAATGATTATGAATTTCATAGCAGGATTATATATTTAAGACTTGACTGTGTCATTGCTTAATGAAGGCATTATTAAAAAGATGGTTTTTCAAAATATTAAAAAAAAGTAAAAATTTTAAATTATCTTCTTTTATATAAAATTTATTGAAAAGAAATATAATCATTATTCTACCTTTTTAGCCTCCTGAGCTTGCAAAGACACCAAATCATTCACCAAATGTGCATAGGAGGAATCTACCTCATGTCCCGCAACGCCCGACATCAATTGACAACACTTCGCTTATTGTACCTAATACTTTAAAGGTAATGAATAAAAAATATTGCATTTAAATTATATTAAGATTGCTATTTTTAAAACTAAATTTTTGTGCGAATTTGATGTTTGGATATGCAATCCAACATGTTCACAGTGTAAAAGCGTGTGTGGATTGTAGCAAACTTATTTTATTAGTTTATATAAAATTTATACCTGAAACAGACAAAAAAGTTAATAAATTTGTGAGAGGATTAAAATTCTATATGTAATGTAGTAAAGTGGAAAATAACAAATCATAATAGTAACAAAAGGTGAAGATTTAATAGGGGCTGTAGTTAACAGAGTAGTAAAAAGTGTGTGCAGATAAAGATAAGAAACTTGATTTGAATGTTAAAATTTAATTCTGCTTAGTATATGATTACACGTTATGTAAAATTCCAGTGAATTTAGTAATTTTATATGTTAAAGTTGTGAATGTTTCTATTCTAGCAGCTGTGTGTCTTTTTGGTACAAGATACTTTTGAATAGCTTAGTTACCAAAGACAATAATGTTGGAATTGTAACACATGAATTGCAATCCCAGTTTTAGTGTACAGAATGAACAAAACTGAGAGTCTAATTGAACTGGGAAACTGAAAAGGGCTCTTGAAATTTTAAAGTGTAGTCAACTCTTTAAGATAATATTGGCCATCTTGACTATTCCTCATAGTCATTTTTAATATATGAATAGTTTTGTCCTAGTTACATGTAAAATTTATAGATTTTACTTTCAAATATTAATTTGGTAGTACTTAGTTCTTTCTCATTAAAAAAAAAAAAAAAAAAAAAAAAAAAAAAAAACTTTATACTTTTTGTTGTTTTAAAATTATTTTTGTTAATAGGAAAATTCTGTTGATTTAAAAGAAAAAAATGCAGTTTTCCAGTTTCATACATTGTAAAGAGTTGATTTTCTGGAGCAGAGCAGTTACTATGCAATAGAACTACCTTTCTATTTAGCTGACATTTCACAGTATGCAGAAACCATTCTCAAAAAATGCTTTGGTCATCTGTTCTTTTTTATTAAATCAGTATAATAGAGTGAGACCATTTAAATTTACACTTTCAAAAGTGCCATCTACTAATACTTAATGTTAAGCAAATAAAGTGCACCATTAAAGAAGTGAGTGGACCAAATTTGTAAAACATTTGAAAAATGGTAGTCAAGTAATTGACATTTTGACACCTAGATGCAAACAAGAACATAAAGAAAAATAGTTGGGAAATCCTGAGCTGATCCAGAAAGTAAATACTGTTTGCACGTATGTCCCATGCATCTGGCAGCATGAAGGTCACACATGGTAGGTCACACATGTTCAACTTGAGAACAAATTAGCCTAGCTATTTTGCATGTTTGCATTAACATTTGAATTCATTGTCTGTCAGTAATCACATTTAAAACAATTGATTGGACCACCAGCTGGCAAATAGGAGCTAATATAAAATTTTTTGAATGTGAGAAATGTTTGTCCTTGTGAAATTTATCTTCAGACAAGTGAAGTTCTGTGTATTTGCCGTGAATTTCCCCACTAAAAATTGTTGACAGATGACGATGAGGTCTAAAAAATAGTTGAAGATTGGTTAATTCAAGAAACCACAGACTTTCTTTGCTGTTGGTCATCATGATCTCATGGAACAGTGAGACACTTATTTCTGTCGATAAGATGATTATGTGTATTATGTGTAGAGTATTATTTGAAATCATATATGAAATTTTTCCAAGTTCATGCTCAGTTATGTCTCAGTTGCTGAGATAACTAAATTATAGTTTGGAATATAGTTGAACAATGAAACTGCTGTTCATACATACATAAATGTCCTGCTGTAGAATTTCATTTTATCAAGGAAAGGAAATTACATGTAGTGACAGTCTAATGAGTTTACACCAAAAGAACATTTAAGTGTACATTCTGTAGAAATAATTTGTAAATTAAAGGAGAATTTTAATTTGCTGGAATTTTTTAAACATGTGCATACCAAGGGGAGGGGAAATTGATTAGGGCGATTTTCTTTTTAATTACTGAAAAGCAACATAATATATTTAACCTCTGACTGTGTGCCTTTTTAAAATTTTTATGGTAATTGTAAGATTAAAATGTCTTACTTCTTCAGTTTTCAAAATCTAAGATTTTATTTAAGATCTGTTAAATGTACTGTAGCTGTCTGTATGAAGAACTTATTTTTTATTTTAGATATGTATGTGTGTGTATACTCATAGAACAACAACAGCAAAAAAAGGGGGAGTTCAAACACATATATAATTGATGTAGATAAAACTGAAGTGTAAAACTTTTCAAATTCTGAAGTGAAGAATTTTTTTTTCATTTGTAACAATCTTCATGGCTTATAAATGAACATCTATTTATTTCTAGGTAATCTTTCTAACTGGAGAAGGTGGCAGACTACGAAAGAATCCGCCTTTGATGAGAAGCAGAGATTACGAATTAGTTCCTGAAGCAGTATGGCGAGCCCTTTCACAGTGGTATGGTGGATCTCCCCCATTACCAAGGCAGGTCAGTGAACTTTTGATCTTTCTGGATCACGTATTTCAAAGATAATCAAGAAATAATTTTTCATTATATATTTTTTTAATTATATTTTTTTGTTTTACATAATTTTATTTAGCTTAAGCGTACAGTATGGTATAAAAATTATTGTACTGGGATACATACAAAAAGAAAAATTTTCAATTGAATATTATTTTTTAAAATTTCACACTTTAATTCTTTTTGAATAAATAACCATATAATTAAGATGCAATAACACGCCGAACAAATATTAATTTAGAAGTCAAACAACAAAAATCAGCGTTATATTTTCAAATTTTCACAGGACTAGTTTCAATGGTTTTACGGAACCATCATACTCAGCTGCAAAAGCGCAAATGAACAAGATAAAATATAATGATTAGATAGGATAAAAAAGCCTGGACAGAAGATAAGCCACTGGCACCATCTGTTGATGAAACCAGAACTAAAACATAATTTCTTTAAAGGCTGAAGGCAAAGATGGATTGGAATTAGGGTCGTTAACTAGAACAGAAAGATTTTTTTGAATGTGAAATGTCTCTAGAAAATCCAGTTCACCAATGGAAGATGTTTTATTTAATAATTTTGGCAGCAGAAAAATTGAAAGTGTGATTTTCAGACCAACAATTTTGGGCAACAAGAGACTTCTGTGTTTTTTAGTCCAAAGGGATTTGAATCCCGAAGGACTATTAGTTTCGTTTTGGCATTTTGCGTCGGACGGATAAATGTCAGTTCACTTTTCAAACTGTTGCCATAAAATGTTAAGAGTCCTGCATTATATTTGAAGAAATTAAATAATGAAAATCTGCGTAAATGTATGTATATTTCTCACATTGTCATAAAATAACGGTACATAGAGTCATCGAATTTTGAATAACGTAATCCTCCAACGAATATGAGCATGTGGAAGACCAAATTTGAAATTTGAAATTTGTTTTATGATCGATTTCCTATTTTTTAAAACTTTGACGAATTTTTGATTAACAAACTCAAGGATTTCAAAGCGAGCAATGGCAACGTTGTGGCAGAAAAAACATTTTTATCTCCAGCGCGTGAGTCTCTGTATCGGAAATTCTAAAGATATGCTCGTTTTAAAACTATTTTGCGATATTGCTGTTGCACTGGATCTTATGGTTTAAGTGCGAGGAACATGATATTTAATAAAGAAAGGTAACACACAAAATGTTAAAAAACGCCCCTTTGGACGTAATTTAAAATCTGAAACATTTCAGTTTTTTTTTTTTTTTTTTTTTTTCCCCTAACATATGCCTCATATTTCTTAACACGAAATTTTAAGGCTCTCTTACTCTGGCCAGTGTAAATTAAACCACACTGGCAAGGAATCCTGTAAATAGCCCAGGAATTCATATCCGGAATGGGGACCTTGATTATGAAACTCAGAATTTTATTAATGGGAGAATAAACAACTTGAAAGTTAAATTTCTGCAAAATGCGTGCAACTTTATAGCTAATTGATGGAAAGAAGAAAATGACAACAGAATTTTTATAATCTCCTAAAACTAGAGTGTGCCTTTTGGTGTGTTGAAATGAGAATTTTTTAACTGCTTGATTAATAATGTTGGTTGAAAATCCTCTTAATAGCTGTTGCTTTTAAATAATCTAGTTCTTCATCAAGGGATAGTCAAAAAACATCTTCCATTGGTGAACTGGATTTTCTAGAGGCATTTCACATTCAAAAAAATCTTTCTGTTCTAGTTAACGATGCCAATTCCAATCCAGCCTTTAAAGAAATTATGTTTTAGTTCTGGTTCCATCAACAAATGGTGCCAGTGGCTTATCTTCTGTCCAGGCTTTCTTATCTTATCTAATCATTATATCTTATCTTGTTCATTTGCACTTTTTGCAGCTGAGGATGATGGTTCGGTAAAACCATCGAAACTAGTCCTGTGAAAATTTGAAAATATTACGCTGATTTTTGTTGTTTGACTTCTAAATTAAATAACCATATATCGACATTATGGTAATCATGTAGTATGCAATCCACCACTTTTAGGCAGTTGTTTACTTCTTAGATGATGCCACTGAATGCTATTTTTAAGTTCAAACATACAATAAAATGGCAAGAAACAAAAATAACTAAAACAAATAATTTTAGACCGTCATTCTAAAAAACAAATACTTTAAAGCTATAGATTGCATACTAAATGATTATGAAAAGTATATTCTTTTTACTTATTTATCACCCATTTTTCATAATTTTTTTTAAGTATTTCTAACCGAAAGGAACAAAAATATTTGAATTACCATGTAATTATTTTCTCTGGTGAGCCTCTTTAATTTGAAAAATATATCTCAAAATTGGTATGCATTTTATGGCCTAAAGATAGGTAATAAATATACTCTGAATTTATAACAGGATTTAAGAAATGACTGATTGTTTCAGGGTGTGTTATGATTAATGCAACCACCTTTGTGCATTTGGGCAATTTTTCACATGAAAAAGGTAAAAGTTACTGAATTAGTGCAAGTTCGGGGTTTTTGTAACTTTTTAAAAAAAACTGCCAAATTGTAGAACTTTATCTTAAGCTGGCAGACATTATCAGTGTATGAAAAGAAAGCATACATTAGCAGTTTGAAATACAAATTTTAATTATTAAGTAAAGATAATATGATGCATTAAAAAAATAAAATATTTAGATTCTTTACCAAATCTTTATGTAATTTTTTGTGATATTCTTCTCTTAAAGTATATAGCAGTCTGCTTAAATAAAATGTTGGAGAATTCCAGAGACTGTGCTTTGCGCAAACCTTGGCAACACTGGCTATCTACCAAACACATCTCTTCATTTTTCCTATAGAAATTTTGCTGCAAAATTCTGTATTTCTGCTGAATTTTTGGTAAATCTCATAATGGTATATTTTAAAATTAAGGCAAAGTATATCATGACTTATAAAAAGTCATTGGAGCTTGCAATATAAAAAAGAGTGCATCTGAAAAGAGCAACAATGCTTGACTGAAGATTGTAATGAGCATGGTTGCCTGAAGAATGATTATGAACATGATTGTGATTTTATTGCATTCTGAATATTTGGCAACTACCACTGAATTGGTTGTGATAATAAATAAGCATGAGTTTTAGAAGCATGTGCCTGGGTGAGAAATTTTTTTTAAAAAAGGGACCAATTTTAAAAGATTTGTTAAAAATGTGATATATGTGATGTATTGTATAAGAGCAAATGTGATAGTTTTTGAAGATAATATCAGTAATAGTTCACATATGCAACAAGGAGTTCATATATAATATGATATGCATATAATATGATTCACATATAATATGCAGTAAGGATGAGATGATTTATTACAGTGTCAAGACAAGTGAAATGAACTGAATGCTTTTATAATAAATATAAATTATAATAATAATTAAACTGTAATTTATTCTCTAAAAATCCGCTTGAAAATTTTGTATGCATCTTATCACTGAAAGATATGACACAGATTCATTATTCGAACATTTCTAAGGTATTTGTGAGGTAATGTTTTTTAAACTATACAAAATTTAATTCTTGAGAGAGTAAAAAGTTGCTTAATTGTTAAAACAATATTTTTAATTACTGTGCTGCAGTCTTATGCATATTGCATTTTTATATTTTACGATTAAATTTCAGGGCTTAGGACTAATTAGTGTAAAATATAAAGAAGATAAACTTGTCAGTTTAAAATTTAAAATTAGATAAGTTCAAATTTGTATTGATCTCAGATGTATAATACAACTTATGTGTATCAAAGGCTTCCACAGCTCTGTGTTTAAATTGTAGAAGGTTTTTTTTATGAAACCAGCTTCATTATAAGATTGAATTGTGCCTAATTTTGTAATTTTATATACTTTAATCCTCTGAGTTATATGGCTTTTTAGATCTGGTTTGGAAGTCCTGTGTTTAAAAAGTTAATATTGATTAAATTTTTATGATTACTTATTTTAATCTCTTTTCATAAAATTACATTCATTAAAATAATATTTACATTATTAACGATAATAAGAAAGCAAAATATTTAAAATTATAATGTAATATATATTTAAAAAAAGATCAAATAAAAGTGGTCATGCCACTTCAATTAAATCTCGAAGCATGCATGAAGTTAATATATCTAATGGTTTCTATAATGATGTAATTTCTTTAATATACCAATTTTCGATTTCCAAGATTTCATATTAATCTGTTTGGTAATAATTTATGGTAATTTTTTTAAATTATTATTTTACCATATGGAAAAAAAAACTTTTCCCCCCACTTTCTGTCCCATTAAATTGGCTTTAAAAATCTCTGAATATTTTTATGCCATTAATTTTTTAGGAGGTAGTATTTTTTTAGGTTTGTAGTATTAGTAAGTTTGTCTTGCCATTACTGTATATTTTAGAATTATTGTTATGCATACTGTACTGACTTCTGAATTAGTATGCATACTGTATTTTAATATTTTAAAGTGGATGTTATGTTAGCTAGTATTATTCAAGAAGCTAAATATGCTTATGCATTTATTTATCTAGTGCATATGCTTAAATGCTGAGTGCAGATACTTGAAAAAATTAAATAAGTTTAATATAAGAGCAAACTTTTCTAATATGTATTTTTGTTGCATAGGTAATTCTCCCTAGGAATGGTATACCTGAATTAGATTTATATCTAGTGACTTTAAAGTTGTACAGGCATCAACCAAATCCTGCTCGTCAAGTTGCTAATCCCTGGACTGGTGCAGTTAGCAATGTGGCATCATCTTATGGTAAGAAAACAATAAAGTTTAAAAAAAATTTTTTTTTTTTTTTTTTTTTTTTCTGAAATAGCATTAAAAAGAGCTTCAAATTGAATTCATAGAAGAAATAGTATAAGAATGATTTTGAATAAATGAATATTAGAATGGATGAATATATTTAAAAGGCCGGTGGCCCAGTGACTAGCGCATCGCGCAGCAGTAACATAGGTCCAGGGTTCGAACCCTGGGTTGGGTAAGGTCGATTCAGCCTTTCATCCCTTGATATCCATCCCTTGGGTCGATAAAATGAGTACCAAGTTTGCTTGGGAGTACACAGTGGAAGTCCTGCGACAAGCTGACCACTTGTTCAGGGCATATGCTTACGCACCCCGGGGCCCACGGTCAAGAAAGCAGATTTCGGGGTGCTGCAGGCCTTGGCCCATTATGGCTGTTGTGCGAGTGAGTTTAGTTTCGAATATATTTAAATGCTTTAGTGCAGATGTCTTAATACAATATTTTTTGTATTCTTCTTTCCAAACTTCAAGCATAAGAAATTGTGATAGTTTCTCCAGCACTGAAAATTCTGATCTTGAAAAGGAGGGGGAGGGGGAGAAAACTTTATTGTATCGATAAAAAATTGTATCGATAAAAAATTGTATCGATAATTAGTATTTGGTAATTTTTATCCTTTACCCATGGATTAGCCCCAAGGATCTGGATAAAAAATGTATTTATTTTTTGTAATACAAGATAAAATGTATTTTACACTGGTGTTTAAAATTTACGCATAGTAAGTAGAGTTGTATATTCTAAATGACAGCCAAAAGGCAGGACAGAAATGTGTTTTAGAAAGATTGTCAATTTTATGTTAAACTTTATTTGTTGAAACTATGTCAAAATCATGTTTCTTATTGTATTAAATGTCTTATAATTATCAAAACTGCAAAAAAAAATATTATTTTATCAAGAAAAGTGCAAATAAACATAGTTATTTAAGTCCGCAATAAAAACTATATTAAAATAGTTTTATAATTCATAGAATAGAAATCTGTATCTAAAATGCAATTTCAAAATACTGGAAACTGTATATTATATTTTTCAAAATTTCAAATGTAGGTGGTAATCCTCCTGTTTATATGAGTAATATTCCTGCAGTGCATAAAAGATATCTAGCATATCTTGCATCTTTTAGTCGTCTGGCTTCTCTTCGTTACGTATTTGAGTTCATTTGTATGCGACTTCGTTTACGTCTGGAAGAGACTCGGCTATGGCTTTATAAAGATGATGTAAGTATTATATATATTTTTGTTATTAATCACATCTCTTAACTAATTAATTAATTTTGTTTAATATAAAAATATGGTTCACAAGCCTTTGTTATCAGCACTGTTTGACAAGTAATTCAGGTAAAAAAATACCAGACTAAAATTTTAAATTAAGCTTTAATTGGAATAAATAAATGAGATTACATTGCATTGCAGTAGTTGCTAAACATTGCATGTTTAATGGTGATTTTGAATTACTGTAATGTTAAAGTAAATAAATGTATGTGTGTTGAAAATCGTGGTTTCTAAACATTGAAGACTTCATAGGATAGAAAACTGTATCTAAAAAAAATTTTTTTTTTTTTTTTTTTTTTTTAAGAGTAACCTCACACTATTAGAAGAAGAAAACTGTACTTTAGAAGAATTAAATATAGAAGACAATGAACAAATTTTGATAGAAGGTAAGCTTTCATTTGTTTCTGAATTTATTACCCCAGAAGTGAATTAACTATGTTTACTGGTCATATGGACGATTTCTAAAAATGAAATCTTTTTTAGTTCGTAACAAAGATCAGACTTGGCCTGAAGAAATGTCCAATGTGATGAATGCAAAATGGGATCAAAAAAGTCAAGGTTAGTCTTTTTTCTGATATTTTCCTAACTGCTTTATTAATTAGTAAAAATTCAGATTTAAAAAAAAAATCTCCAAAATTTTAGGTCCTACTGAAAAAGGTGCTACTGGTCTAAACAATTTGGGTAATACATGCTTCATGAATGCTGCTCTTCAGTGTGTTAGTAATACACGGCCATTGACACTTTATTTCAATTCTAACAGACACCTCTATGAGCTTAACAGGTTAGTGTACATTCAGCTTTCTATTTTCCTTTAAAATAAAAGGATAATCTTTGCTTTCATATTTAATGTATTTTATTTATAATGCAAAGATAAACGTAGGCTGATTGAAAAGTTTAAAAAACTTAAACTTTAGTCAGAACTGGATGAATGCTCAAGCCCAACATTTCGTTTTCCAAGCTGAATACTTAAAAGTGAATGGTACATTCTACAGCAATTTTTGAATGATTCTAAAACATTTTAAAGACTGTTTTGTGATCTAACTTTTAGGATTGCAGCTGTCGCATTTTTTTCATTTCCTAATCTGAATAGAATTTTCACATCTTTCCAGTTTTTTTTCCAGCTTTTCCCAGGGTCACGCGGAAATAAGTTCCCATGAAAGGTATTGTAATGCTGTCCCAACTAATTCAGACAGCGCTGCTATTGCCACAGCAGCAACATGCAGCTGAATAGTGCATTACTGTGGGGGAGGGGGACTGTTTCTTGAGCAAATCTGGGATATCTTCCATGTGAATATATGTTTCCAAGAATTTTTCATAGTAATCACTGTTTTATATCTGCTCATTGATTTGGCAGTGTTGCCATATACAACCACAGAAGATGGCTTGATAAAATGTGCTTTGTTAATCACTTGTATGTTACCATTTTTGAAGTTCTACCATTCGAAGACTGAAATATGGCTTACATTTCATAATTGTATGCACCTGCCATAATATTTTAAGCACATTTTACCATTTTCCCGAAGTTAAACATGAAATTCAATCATATCACTACTGTGGCAGTGTATGCAGTTTGTAATGACCTGTGAGTCTACAAAGAAATAAGAAATATTTTTACTCTTATTAGTTATTATGCCTCGCTTTTTTTCTGAATTAATTAATCGTTTTTAGCTGAAAATTTAAGAAGGAAGTATAAGTCTTCAAAATTGGAAGATGAGTAGAAATTACACCAGCATATAAGAGTTAATAAAATTTTAAACTTATGCAGTTAGCTATTAAGAATGTAATTTATTCTTTTAAAAAAATGTATGTGTAGTTTTTTGCAGAAATGGATATCTATAAAAAAAATTAGAGAAAGGACCTTTTTTTAAATGGTCCCCTTATATATGTCAAGGTAAATAGCTAACATTAAGGCAAATATATTTGTATATACATCCCTAATTGGAAAGATAGTTAAAATTATATCTAGAAGTACTTTAAGAAGTATATTTTATTAAATATTTTAAAAACTTCTGAAATATTTCTTTAATAATTAATTTTATAACTTTTATTAGATTTTGTGTGTGTGCAGTAAGGGGATTTAAATATTTTAGTCAAAAATCTGGAAAAGTCATGGAATATCATATGGTGATCCCCCTCAAACGAGTTTTGCGCCAACGTTGGAAGTGATCACTTTCTTGGCAAATTGTATAGCGGGAGCGTAATTCGGGCAGCTAGCATAGAGCCAATTTTAACAGCTCCAATCAGATTGTCTTTCAGAAATGCAAAGCAAGTTTCTAGTAACCTCGAGAATCAGGAGAATTGTGCAGTGCATGTTGAACTAAAGAAAATACCTTCCCATTCTCGTATATATAAAAAAAAATCAGTTTAAAGTGTATATTAGGATTTTTCTGCAAAATCTTTTAAACCTTTTTTTTTTTTTTTTCTTTTTAATAAATGCCTTATATGTTATTTTGCAGTAAAATGAAAAAATAGTAACCAGTCATCTAGGCTAACCATTTTATATAACTTTATTCACCAAAACATTGTTGATTATTGTAATTCAATTTTTAATTAATTAACTTTAATGTTATTTGTATCATTTAGCATTGCTTCTTCTCTCTAAATTTATTTATTATTAGTTAAAAATACTTTCAAATTTCAGGCAATTTTCTCTGGCATAATTCTGAAACTAATTTTAGCAGTATAATGACATACTATCAGGAAATTTAATGCACATAATTTTTCACTTATGTATGCTGCTAAATAAATATAAAATACCTGAATTTATTTTAAAATATCGTTAAATAGATGTCTTTCTTTCGTTTAGCTCAAAATGTTGCAAAAAAAGACATTTTTTAATCCAGAGTGGGCAGATTCTAATCTCAATCTTCAGTGGAGAAAACAACTACTATTGTAGTTATAATAGTAATACTTTGGAGTTTATATATATGTAAGAAAAATAAAGAATATGAAAAAGATTATAAATTAGCAGTGTAAATTAATTTCCCTTCTCTCTTTTAAAAATGGTAACCTCTATTTGCACTGCTTTATTTCTAGAAAAATCTATGTCATGATTCTTACGTAATTCTGATAATGTAAATAAAACTAAAACTCAAACAGCCAGTTGTCATTTTACAGCAATATTAACTGTCCAATCAAAATGCCTTGAGAACCAAACTACTCAGTTTGACGTAAGATTTCATCCTGAACATTATGCACTTGCTTTCTACGCTTTGCCTTAGCTCGACTGTAGTCTGTCTGCTCCCTCCTTTTTTGCTGCAAATCTGTCAAAAATGTAAGCCCTTTGGAACAGGCACATTTAATGTGCCGACTTGTGTGTAGCCGCAACATGTTGCTGAAAATAAAACTGAAGATTTAATCTGCCTCCTTCACCTCCAATTTCCTAGTCATTATGGATCAGCACTTCTACGCCATCAAAATTCCTCCTCCTCCTCTTCAGCTACTTCTGACTTTGTTTTTATTACAACTGAGTCGACAGGACACGTCCTGTGCGTTGGAATTCCAGTGGGAATGGAATGTCTTTAATAGCCAACCATCTCTTCAAACTTCTATGTGTAACGGAAATTCATAATGGATATCGAGTACCTGCAAGTTCAAAAGTGCTAACATCAGTGAAAACAAAGTGTACAGCCATCTGTTAAATGTTTAGAAGGAAAAAAAAAAAACTGTTTTAAATCATCAAAGTGTGCCTGTTCTTCACAGAAGTGTTATCCAAATTGTGGCTACGACTGTGAAAGCGAATTAGTTAATTAAAGCCTTCATGTTATAATCTTCCATATATCTTTGGCTCCATCAGTCTATGTGCGCAACTTGGAATCAGCAAGTCATGTTAAAAGTTTTAAATGTTTTAAGTCAAAATCCATTCTTCAAAATTTAATCTAGCATGTACGGTGATTTAAAAAGTGCAATGTCGTAATTGAACAGTGATATGAAAATGTGAAAAAAGATTAATCATAGAATTGCTAAGAGTGCTTAAAAATGAAACCTAGAGCCTGCCTTCCAAAATTAATCCAGCGTTTGTTTATAATAAAATTACGAATGTTTTCCTAGTTTTAACATTTCAAATCATTCCAGTGCTTTTCAAGGTCACCGACCTGCATATCTTGATCTGGCTCTTATGCGAATAAATTCACAGTTATAGGATTAAATGTACACTTAAAGTAGATGACAGAAAATCATTTTTGTTTCTGTTTTTGCATAACTGAATCTGCATTGGGACCTGATATTTTTTCCTCCACGAAATCATCTCTTAAGCAGATAGCCTTCATAATGCTTTGCAATATTTAGTTAACCTTACAAGGTAAAATTAGCATGCATTAATTATAACACGTCCTTCTAATACAGTGATCATATGTTTCTAAGAGGTTTTTTGGGTATGATTTTTTATCCTTAAAAGTCCTTAATTTTGCCCCAAATTGGCAAAAGGATTTTGCTCATCTGACATTTTTGTTCATTTCGAGTGTGAATTAACATTTTGGAGGGATATTTTATGCCAGTCTTATGACAAATATGTATTTGATGGTTATCCTTTGAATTTAGTCCTACTTCTAATATAAATGTTGTGTTGCTGAAGTTTCTAGCGCAAGGCCACATACCTTGTTTGAATCATACACATTTCAATATTATTTCTTTTTTGAAAATGATAGAGTTAATGAAACATTACATCAAAGACAACATTTCCCTTCTTGAAATATGAATTCTTTTGTTATTCAGCATTAAATTTGGTTACTCATCAGCATTTTGGGGATTTTAAAATCAATTTTTATATAAATTAGTAGTATTAAATATCATTAATGATAAGGCTTTAAAATTATGTGTAAGAAATAATATTGAAATGAGACATTTTTATTTGCCCCTCTCATATTTTAAAGTAACATTATTTTCCATTTTGACTGCTCAGAAATATTTGGATTCTGAAAAATAAACAAGATAATAAATGCTGTGTTTGTAGTATTAATGTATAATGGATGTCTTTTACTGAAATTTTTTGATGAATATCTTGTTTTTCTGAAAATTTTGCAAGAACAATGAAATCACTTTTATTTCAATTTTCCACTTTTGATCTTAGAATCTTTTCTACTTTTAATCTTAGAATCTTTTCTATTAACATATTTATTTTTCCTTTGTTTTCTCTTCTTTTCACTAGATACAAGCATAAAATTAAAAAATCTGATGTGTACACCACTTGACTTCCTTGTACGGAATATTAAATTATACGCATTTTTTCTTGCCTTTCATTTAAACTTATTGGATTGAATTAAATCTACTTCACCGACAGCGCATAAACCACGATAGAATAAATGCATTCTTTAAAATTCACTCTAGTATTTGTTTACCATAGCGACACTCTGGCGCTAGATTCACTTAACAGAATTATATTTCGTTCATATTATAACTCAAGATACACAAAATTTATATCATTTAGAATTATCTAATCGTTGCCACATGTTCTATTCAAATACTATAATAAAACTAGAATGACGTATAAAAAATTAAGCAAACAAAACAAAAAAGAAACAGTTTTTCACAGACAATTGTATTTCTCATTCCATTAATTCAGTTGTCACTTTGCGAGAAGGCAAAAGTACATAAAAACTCAAAATATCTATATTAAAAATTACGAGTAAATCTTAAACACTTATTTCCTTGAAAAATTCCAGAAAGATAAGCATGATTTAATTGGCAATAATAATGAAGGCGTTATCTAGTGTTGCAAAGCTAAGTTTCTCTAGATTGGCAATAAATCCACTAGTCTGCCGTTTCAAATGTAAATCAATGGCTGTCGTCAAAAAAAAAAAAGGCTTAAGCAACTTAAAAATTGTTGATAATTCTAAAAAATATTGCACACAGATTTACTAAAGGCATAAAAACCTTAACCGGAAGATAAAACAAACATAATTCAATCATTTTTTAAAGCAAAAAATTTACATTTACAAAACATATAAGAGTAAAGAAATGAGATCACTGAGCCGGGTAACAGAGTGGATATATATAAAAATATATTTATATACGTGAGGTGCGGCCGATTGTAACCAAAATACGAGGTGCACATCACATCTACATGTTATAGGAGTCCTATATACAAATTTCAACATTCTGAGGCTACTCGTTTTTGAGTTATGCGAGATACGTACATACGTTCGTACAGACGCCACGAAAAATTCTCTTCAGAATTAATTTTAAAGCAGTTTTATAATTTTTTTGAAGGAAAAGAGTATTTTATTCTGTTCTTATGTACAGATATCACGCAAAAACATCGTTAAATTGCATTCGATAGCGGTCAGAATGGATATTTTCATTGAAATATGCTGCCTGAAACTTTTTGTGATTACAATACTTCCTTTTCACTTCGTACAAGGAAGTAAAAAACAGTGGTTGTTATCTTGTTACATGAGCGTGTATCTGTAGAAAAGAATTTTTCTATTAATAAAAAAATTGAAAATTATGCATGTCTGTGCACACCATACACGGGACTGGCATTAGCCATTCTACCATTTGGTGCAATTTCTGTGGGTCCTAAATTCTGTTGCCTACTGCCATCCTAAATTCTAAAAACTCTGCCTCACTGTGTCTGTTGTCAGCTTTGACCATGTATGATTGTATAGTTATTCTCAATACATGTATAATTAAAAATAAAGTTAAATTAGCAGTTTCTTCTATACATTTGAAATGCAAACAATATTGTAAAATACCAGAAATCTAAATAATTCTGTAATTAAGAGGAAACTGAAATGAAATTTTGTAATGAAGAAATTTGTTGAGGAAGAAATTGATTGCATAAAGAGAAAGTTGTTCTTTAAAGGTATGTTGTTAAAAATTAACAGATTAGGAGATGAAGCAGAGATTAGAGGGAACATTGATTTATTTATTAAGAAGTATACTTAGAAAAGGTAATAAAAAGAAGTAAATTAATTAGAATATTTGAAATTTTTTCAAATTAAAAAGGCACACAAATATTTTGTTGTATTTTGTTGCTACGAAACATATATGTTTTGTATCATTTAATGTGTAATTATCCTAATATTGTTTTAGAGTTGATGTCATAAATTATCTGTTATTTTAAACTGTAAAATGTGTTTACTTTGTGATTTTGATAATGCTTTCCAAATGTGTGTTTTTTAATAATAAAATAAATTTTTAATACCAGCATGTAAATCTATAACTAACTAATTTAATTATTTGCAATTATTATCAACCTTAGAAGTTATATCAACTTTTTAAGGAAAGTTATCACCTTTTTTTAATCCTTAGTGGGATCACAAGACACGACACAAAATTGTGAAAATTAACATAAAACTTCATTCCTTACAGCTACTGAGAGTTGAAATGATATAGCTTATCACCTCCTGTTCTTCAATAGCTTTTTGGTATCTTACAGTATATTAACTGGGTTACAATTACAGCAACTCTATTATTATCTATGACACTAGTTTGCTCAGACAGATAAAGGGCAATTAAATTTCAGTATTTACCAATCATGCCAACGTTGTCAGTGGCTCTCTCGGTGGCAAGCAGAAGTGCTGGCAACAATTAAGTATCTGTTATGAATCATTCTAAATATGATTTACCTATCATTTTAACAAATACTACTTGACATGAAATCTGCGTAAACATCTGGACTGAGCGAATACATGATCAAAAGAGGCATAAAACAAAGAATCATCATAAAGCTAACTGTTAGTAAAACATAAATAAAATTTCACTAATGTTCTTTATATGGGTGATAAGTATAAAATATAAATATTTCATGAGATTTTTGTAATTTAATATTAATGGATAAATATTATGATTTTTTTTATTCTTGAATGTGTTTTATAATTATGTTAAATATTATATACTGTTTGATAATAATGCATCCTACTTACAGTTTCATTCTTAGAATGGTGTTATGGAAATGAAGTTCAATTAGATAATTGCTTTAATTATCCATTTGTTGATAGGTCTTTAATTTTTTGCATCAATTGTCCTTAAAAGTCCGTGAAAGTACTTAATTTGTATGTGCATGAATATATACAAACCATGTAATATCTGTGCCTGGCTATGTCTATTCAATGAAATGCATCTTCAGACTAAAGCATTTTGTTCCCGATGTATCTCAGTAATATTTGTAGGCTGGTGCCATGCATCCGTATCTTCTCAGATTAAGAAGTGCCAAGAATAACGACTGATCTTATTCTGATCTCTAAAAAGTTCTTTTATTGCCTTTTGCTGTTTTCTGATTCTTATGTTTTGTGCCTTAATTTAGCTGATCATACTAGTGAACATGTGTTACGAGCGTATAACTTATTGACAATTAATCAAATATTATACTTTACCTTAATTCATATCACAATAGTATATGGATGTGGTATATATCACATATAAAGTATATGGATATGGTACATATCACAACAGTATATGGATTACCTTGCTTCTCTGCAGGATTGTAGTAGCTTTCAATGCCTGACTGATTTTTCTTGCAAGATTGGGAAGCAATCGCTAGGCATTAACTGTTCGTGGGCAACCATCACACAATACTTCGGACATCTATATCTTTCATTCTGAAAGTCATCCACATTCAGTACACTTTGGGGGCAAGGTCAAATTGATAATTTCCTTTTTTCATACATATTTAGTCCTGCTTCCTAGTTAGTCTAGAATAAAATTTATCTAAATGTGTCCTTGTGACCATTTTGTTGCTTGCATTATAGAGTAAAATTTATTAAACATCTCCTACAATCATGCTTAGCATTTAGAAATTTGGAAAGAATTCCTGGAATTTTTCTTTATCTGTTACAGTATCAGATTAACAGTGATGATTTCAAATTATGATGTTAGTGATCATTTCGAGACCTAAATGTGCCAACTTTCTGTAAAAGGCGTATGGTTACACAAGTTACAGCAAACTGTTTCATATAATATTGAGGTTTTAACTTTTAGCAATAATGTTGTTCCTTAAGTATTTCATTTTAATGTATAACTATTTTATGTGCTCATATTGCAAAGCGGGAGGTTTTTACATCTGCATAAAATACCTCATTTCCATTATTTTGTCAAATTTAACTAGCAACTTATTAGAGGGTAAGAATTTTAGACTTTAAAAATATTTTGATGCAGTTTTTGATTAAAAGTTCGCTTATTTATTTAAATTTTATAGCCTTTGTTATTGTAATTATCATATAAATGAAGTAAACAGATGCTTTAATAAAATTAAAGTTAACAAAAATCAGTATTAGTTTTGCTTTGATTTCAAACGAAATGAAAAAAGAACAGAACTTGGTTTTGGAAAAAAGAAGCAAAGTATTTATATGTTTTTTTTTTTTTTTTTTAAAAAAGCATTGAGCTTCTTTCTTTTCCTTTTTTTAATTTATTTTAAATTACCAATAAACAGGTTCAGTTACACCCATTTTAAAAATGCTAGTTGAGAAGAATTGTTTTAAGCAGTTGTGATCTCATAGCAATTTTGATTTTAGGAATAGTTGTTTGATCATGTATACAATTATGTTTATAATAAAATTATGAAAAATCAGTATATTACACAAATAGTGTGTTTTATTATGCTGTTAAACCTTTGTGTTACTTGATTTTTAAATATATGCCATTGTTAAAAGTATTGATGATACGTAAAATGCTTTAACCTAAAAAATTACTAGTAATATGTTATTTCAAATATTTTGTCAGTTTACTTTATTTTGTGCATCTAGAACCAATCAGCATGGTATGAAAGGTCACATAGCCAAACGTTATGGAGATCTTGTTCAAGATTTGTGGAGTGGAACTTCAAGGACAGTAGCACCTTTAAAATTAAGGGTATTTGTTTATACAAATTTATTTCTAATATATATTTTTGTCTAAATTATTATTAATGTTTAGTTAAATATTTTTTATGCATTTAGAACTTGTTGAGAGTATTTATAATATGTAAACACATATTTAATTCTGCTTCTTGGTAGTACATTAATATGCTTGGAAATATGTTTGAAAGTTTATTGGTAGTTATAAAAGTGATTAATTTTATTTTCATTTAAAAACAAAAAGATAAAAAGAAAGAACAACTTAATGTGAGAGAATAATTTGAATTTACGATTTTTTCATTATTACAATATGCAAAGAATCTCTCTGTCATGTATAATCATTGGAAGATATAAAAAAATGTTTTGGTATGAATTCTTTATTATTTTTATCATTCACAGAATCTATGAAATTATTATGAATATTCACTTCTTCACCATGTCTTATTAGTACAGTCAAAAGTCGTTAATCCGGACTCGTCGGGACTTCGGCGATTCCGGATTATAGATCATCAGTTTAAATCTGGTAAGATGGCATGCAGAAATTACAAAATTAAAAATATGAAACCGTAATTATGAAATAAGAACAATATGATCTAAAGGGTATCAAAATTTACAAAAGAAAAAGCTTAATATTTATTTGTTTACTTTATTAAACATTTCTTTCAATGTAAGTTGCTTCGTTTCATGTGATAATACTTTCTCTTTAATTCTATTAACAGACATAATTTCTGTTTCAGTTACAAAGTTCCGCTGTTCAAGTCCTATAATTGCTGTGTTGAGAATACCGACTAATTTGTCAATGGAAATGTTTTCGTTTTCAATAACCTCTGGGTCACTTTCTTCACTCAATCTGTGTGTAATTGATAAACAGATTTCGGATTTCAAAACATACTTTCGCTTTGTAGATACAAATTACATATTAGTAAATATATATCGGAATTCTATTTGACATAATCTTTCTAATCTATCATAATCTAATAATGACGTTTCTGCCCCCCCCCCTCTGCCGCAGAGCAGGGTGAAATTGATAAACAGATTTCGGATTTCAAAACATACTTTCCCTTTGTAGTAAATATATATCGGAAATTCTATTTGACATAATCGAAAGTTCAAGCTTACTTTTATAAAATTGCTCTAACAGTCTGCAAAAAATAATAAGCCGGATCCATTTCGAAGATTAAGGAACAACGCAATCTGCAACATTAACTGAATTAGATAACTTTAGCTTAGCGTATAACTCCGTTACACATTAAACACGCATGCGCACAAACATATTCGCAGCCGTAAGGGTCTTACGCGCTCTCGTAAACGCCTTTGCGCATGCGTAAATGAGACGCATGCGCAGAAAGTTTGTAGCTTTGAGGTCCGGATTATAGATCATTCCGGATTATGGGTGTCCGAATTAACAACTTTTGATTGTATTGCTGTTAACAGTGCCTGTAAAATAGCTGGTCATATTGAGAAATGTATCTTGCACAATTATTTTTCTGGCTTTATATGTCTAATTTTCTATAATATTCTATTTCTATTATATAATTTCTATTATATAATTCTAATTTCTACTATATAATTTATAAGACTTATGGGCAATAATTAAACTTGTGTAATAAAAGTAAAAGGTTAAGGGATTTTGTTTTGAAATAGATGGTTAATTTGATCTGCAAGTGTTATATTTTTATTATGAAAGAAACTATAGAATAGGCAGATACTATCTAAGAAGATAGTGTCTAATTATGTACCTGTGACAGATTAATCTGCTGTTGTTAATGAATGTTTACTCATATGAAGCCTGTAAATCAGCTTTTTCTTTTGGGACATGGAAATACGTGAATTTCTTTTATTAAAGCTCCATTGACATTATTGAAGGGCATACATGTCGTGTCTAAAATGTTCCAGGATTGTGTTTGCTTTTTAAAGACACAGGAAAACATAAACAAATGTTACTGCCAACACTTGGGTATATAGTTAACCAACTCACAGTTGTGCATATCCTTGCTCCAAGGATTTGATCACCAGAACAAAGCGTTTGTGTAAACGTTTTTATGTTAAAATCAGAAAAACTGCAACTTAAACCCTTGAAATGTTGACAAAAGCATATGATGATGCTGCGCTTTCATAGTGCATAGTATTTGCACTTTCATGATGGAAGAAAATACATAAAAAAAACCTGTGTGTCTGCCAACTATTTTGTACATGAACAGAGGAAATGTTTGAAACGTTCATGATTTAGTGTCAGTGGACTTTTTTTTGAATGACCTTAAAATTCTTACAAATGAACTAAACCTAAGTAGGGGTACAGTTCATACAATTCTAAAACAAGATAACGGTAAAATTTGCACATTTTTGGACAGCTGAGCAAATGCAGAATGAAAGCTTGCAAGGACTTAATGGAGGCAGCAGACAGTGAGGGAGAAAAGGAAATTTATTTATGTATTTATCTATTTATTTTTACATTAAAAGGAATTAAAAGTTGTATTTAAATCATTATGCCTAAAATATAGGGCATGGTGCATATTAAAACATAAGTAAACTTTTAAAAAATTACACTTATGGGTAGCATTCCTTAAACTTTTTTCAAGTGGAAACCATGTTTATAAATTAGAAAATTCCGCAGATCATCTTATGCTTGTACCCCTTGAAAAAAAAATTTTTTTTCCATGCATTTTTAAAATACAGTTAATAAAAATTAACTTAATTTTGCATCAATGCCGAATAATTAAATTAATATCAGAAAATTTATATTTGTTTTAAGAATTCAAGGTTATTAGAGTTTGGCTAATCTTTATCTTACTAACTAAAGTTAAACACATGTTAGTACTCACAATAATGAGATGAGTGATCTGGTTGATTCTTGCGCAGTTGTTCTGTATTTAGATGTATGTTGTTAAAAGTTTGAGATAGGCACATGCTTCAAGTGAGTTTCATTGTTTGTTTATTTAAATAATAAATATGTAATTTGTTTTATTTTAATTCACCCTGAAAATCCTTTTTCACACATATATGTGGAAGAAAACTCAGTTATAATTTTAAATTACAGTTCATTACATTTCGTTTTCACTGGTAGTGAGTTGAGCAGTACCGGAAGCGAATGAAGGCAAGAAGCACCACAGTTATAACCAACAAGATATATACTGTTCATAACGCTTTAAAACTTTATATGAAATTATTGGTCATAACACTTTAAAGCACTATGACTGCGGGAACAAGGGTAGGCTTTAAGTACTTTTTGTAGTCTGTGGGCCACAGTTTGGGAAATGCTGAAATTGGTGCTAAAAATATGTCATATCCCTTTATCTAAAGACTTATGAGCATACTTATAAAATATGCTGTCTTGCATGACAGTCTTGTATAATGAAAAACGTAATAAATATTATTAACACTTTCACTACTGGTCATATGAGGGTTGTGCTGATATTTATTGCGCTTATATAGTAGAAGTAGATTGTACCCATATACCGACTTAAGAAATATGTTTTAAAAGAGGTAATAAATGGTGATTATATGTACGCACTGATTGCTAAGCATAATACTTGATAGAATTTTATGACTACATGCCAGTAAGTAATTGTCACTAAAGGTAAAATTATTTTCCTAATATTACTTTGCCCACTGGCACATGGCATTTAAACATGAATCAAAATTAAAAAATAAATAAATAAAAATAATGGAGTGCATTATTTTTTGTATGAAACTCTATCACAAACAAATATATACAGTCAAAAGTCTTTAATCCGGACTCGTCGGGACTTCAGCAATTCCGGATTATCGATTTTTACGGATTATAGATCATCATTTTAAATCTGGTAAGATGGCATGCAGAAATTATAAAATTAAAAATATGAAACCGTAATTTATAAAATAATGATCTGAAGGGTATCAAAATTTACAAAAAAAAAAAGAAGCTTAATGTTTATTTGTTTACTCTATTCAACGCGCGCGTGCGTAAAGCATACCTTACGCATAGCCGAAATTAGAAAATTTCAACCAGAAAACTATTTGATTTGTATTCGTGATACTTATAATGACAAGGAATTTGATTTAAATCATATCAAAGACGGAGTACGTCGAGATTAAATACTACATTTAGTAAGGAATTATAAGCCGAATAAAATAAAAACATCTGCCCTGAAGATGAGGATAGTGCTGACAGATCAACTTCCAGTTCATTGCGCGTCGTGATGTTTATAATGACGAGGAATTTGATTTAAATCATATCAAAGACGGAGTACATCGAGATTAAATACTACATTTAGTAAGGAATTATAAGCCGAATAAAATAAAAACATCTGCCCTGAAGATAAGGATAGTGCTGACAGATCAACTTCCAGTTCATTGCGCGCCGGGTCCCCTAGCCATACCATTAGTTTTTCTTATCATATACAAACTGATACCATGTTTATGGCATTTGTACTGTCTAAAATAAGTTGTCCACTCCACAATATCATCGATTTGTCTAAACTAATCTTTCATCCTGGGTATTTTTATATTATATTAAATATTTGACATCATTTCCAGTTTGCCTTGGGGGTCAATTAACAAATAAATTTGGATTTGATTTTTTTCCCTTTAAATTACATTGTGATATTCTTTTGTGATTTATTTGTGTGCGAAGTTCTTTATAATTTTTGTTACAAGTGGCATGCTAAAAGAATCCTCATGTAAGTAATTTGTAAGTTTTCAAAAATGTTGTGAATGATGATGCTAAATATGTTAACCTCATGATGTTTCGTTACTTCCTAATCATTATCTAACAATCACATGAAAATTTCACTAATTTTAAAATATTTTTAATTTTTAATCATGCAAATAGTGTTACAAGTTGGTTGGTTTGCCAGTATTGAAGCCTGTAATGAAACTGTTTTTAATGCAATATGAATTCTGAATCTGTAAATAAGATATCTTTTTTTTGAAGAAATTTGTATTGATCTATATTTTTCACGACAGTCTGCTATAGGAAAGCTCATCATTTGATATAGTAATATCAGAAAGTTTCTGATCTGATGTTTTATTTTTAGTTAGTTACAAATGTAAGCATTTCTGTCTTCAGTTTGTGAACGCATTAGAATCAACCTTTCATATTTTATTTTTTTATTATAAGTATAAAATTTTCCTAGTTTTGAGTATATGGAGCAGAAAATGTATACAAAGTTAAATTTAGTAATTTTTACAAAATCGATTTTTTTTAATTAAAAATGGCAAAATTTGAACATTTACATCATTTAGAACATTTTTATAACTTGAAGAACTGGTCTATGTCCAATGGTTGCAAAAATAAAGGCTGGTTAAGGACGTAGTTGGTTAGCAGCACAGTATGGAATTGTACAGTGTCCTTTCAGTATGTTTTCTAATAAAATGCCATGGTATAGGCAATGTGCTTTACTCCTAAATAATTAGCAAGAATGTTGAAATGGAGATACGAAAATAGCATATCAGATATTTTGTATTAATACAGTCTTAAGTACTATGTATCAGAAACATAATCAAAAGATACTGCAATATATTGCACTGACAACCGAAAACATTGTGACCATCTCCATATTTTACAATGAATCTTGTCTAAATGATGTGGGGCACGTCTTAAGTGGTGAATGATATTTAATTGCTGCTGAAGAAGGTAAAAAATCATTTTGCACTTACTTTTGCAAGTGAAAGGAAAAGCTACTGATCTAATGGCTGGTAATAGAAGGCAGATTGTAATGGCCTGAAGACTTGGAACAAGTATCTCTGAAACTGCACAACTGGTAAGTTGTTCACGATCTGCTGTTGTTAGTATTTATGCAAAGTGAATTAATAAAAATGCAGCCATGCGTCATCAAAGAAAAACACATCAGAGACTGTCCCACTTGATAGAGCAAAATCGGCATCAGACAGTGGCTTAGCTGTCCAGGTGCAAGTGTTTCACAAATAGTTCAGAGGACACTGTTGGATATGGAACTGCACAGTAGATGGTCCCATTCATGTGCCTTTGTTGACCAATCGTCGCTGTCAACTATACCTATACTGGGCCCAGGAATATCAAGTCTAGACCATGGATAAGTGGAAGACAGTTAACTGGTCAGATGAATTGCAATTTCTCATTCATCATATCATAAGCATAATACTGATAATAGTTGTGTCAGGGTACATCGTCTTCTGTGCAAACAGTTGCTCCCCCATATAGAGCAGATCATACACAGGCTGGTGGTGGCAGTATTATGCTATGAGGGACATTCTGATATGCAGTCCTGGGATCTTCAGTTGTGGTAGAACAGACGGTGAAAGCTGCTGACTATCTGAACGTAATTGCAGATCATTTGCACTCTTACATGCCATCTGTCTTTCCAGCTGGAACTAGAATTTTCCAGCATGACAATTTCCCATCTCATAAGCTTGAATTGTGTTGGAGTGGTTCAAGGAGCATAAGAATAAATTCCAATTAATGTCCTGGCCACTTAACTTGAAGGAGCAAATTTGAGATGTCATGGAGTGGCAGCTCAGAGCTCAAACACCACCACATCAAAATATCTTGATCTGTGTGACCACCACGTAGACATTTGGTACAATCTGACTCCTCATCTACCAGGAACTTGTGGCATCCATACCAAGGTGAGTTGCAGCTGTTTTGCAGGTCAGAATTCACGCAATGCATTATTGAGTATGTGGTCATAATGTTTTGGCTCTTCAGTGTATGAGTATCATACAAAGTACAAAGTCCAATAAATAAAATTAAATACAATACAAAGTCCGTAATCCGGACGTCCATTATCTGGAATGATCTATAATCCGAACCTCAAAGCCGCAATTTTCTTTTTTTTGTAAAATTTGATACCCTTTAAATCATAATTGCTCTTTATTTCATAAATTACGGTTTCATATTTTTAGTTGGATAATTTTTTGCATGCCATCTTACCAGATTTAAATTGATGATCTATAATTTGGAAAAACCCTTAATCCGGAATTCCCGAAGTTCGGATTCGTGACTTTGTACTGTACTATATCAGATGAGCATGCCACAACTACGAACTCTCCCCATTTTTCATCGCATGTCTTGGTAGATCATTGAATCTCTTAGTTTTCAATTTTTATCCTAGTATTTTGCTACTACTGACTCTAATCTCTTATTTTAATCTTCTCATCTGCCTTTAATTTAGTCTATTGTGATAATGTAAGATGTGGACATCTGTCCATACTCAGAGAAAGTTAATAGGAGTTTGGGTGAGGTTCATATCTCACCCTCACTCCCAAATAGATGGCAGAATAGTCAGTTAACATATTTTACAGCATAACAATTCTTCCATTAAAAATGGCTGGAAATATTGAGTATTTATTTTATGTATTATCTTCAGAATTACATTTTTCATGTGTATAATTTTTTTCAAAAAAAGTATTTGTTGCTTGTTCTGTATCCATATTCTGGAGAAAAAAAAAATGTTGGAATGCCTCAGTTTTTATAATATGTATAACTTATTTACTGCATCCCCCTGCAGCTGACCATTGGTAAATATGCACCACGTTTTAATGGTTTTCAACAACATGATTCACAGGAATTACTTGCTTTTCTTATTGATGGATTACATGAAGATTTAAACAGGTGAGATAAATATTTGTAAGAATTTGTATCCAAATTTGCCTTTTTGATATATTATTTACTTGTTGTAAATTATTAATCTGTTATTATTATTAATTATTAACCTACTGTACCTGTAAAAAAAACCTTGTTTTTTATATTACATTTGGTGCTTGAATTTCATGTTAAATTATTATTTGCATATTTTGCATCAAATTGCATATGAGATTAAAATTAATTAATAATTAAGTATATTAAAATGAGTTTGGATTCAGAATAAGCATACATAAAATTATTTTCTCCTTTGCTTGGATTGTAAATTTTCTTACCATTTTCAGAATTTTATTTCTTCTGTTTTTATGAAATTTATTACAATCCCATAACTATACATGTTCCTTCTAGATTATTTTTGTTACAGTGACTGCAATGTTATAATTTTAGCTCTAAATCATTACTTCGAATTAAAAATTCTGTAACTTGGTGTGCATGTAAAGTTTGTCTTTTCCTTTCTGTCTTGTTTGCAGGAAATATATCTCCTGTTTTTTTTGCACAGTGTTTATCCAGTTTTTTGAAATTGTGCACTGAGAATATATCTCTTTCTGAATCTGTTCTTTAGGATATGTCTTTAGTTCTGTTATATTTTACCTTCTAAGGGTTATTTGCATTGAAGGACAGCTTTTTAATTTGTTACACATGAAAATTTCTGCCAGCTCCTGATCAGTCTGATTTCAGGTTGGTTGTGCATTGAAAGAGAAGAAAAGTGAGAGAATCCTTGTGGAATTATTATTTTAAAAAATATCTCTTTACTTATGATGATTTGGGAACTTCAAATTTTCAGGATCTCACCTGTAATGCTCAGAGGGTATTATATGTATATATATGTGTGTGTGTGTGTGCATATTATTGAGTGCTCCTTTTTCATTTTTTAATTATAACTTCGTACAGAGTTCATGAAAAACCATACACTGGTCTAAAAGACAGTGATGGACGTCCAGATGAAGAAGTTGCACAAGAGGCATGGGAAAATCATGTTCGTCGAGAACGATCAATAATAGTGGATCTTTTTCATGGCCAGCTGCAATCAACAGTTCGATGCAAAGTGTGTGGTCATACCAGTGTACGCTTTGACCCTTTCAACTACCTCTCTTTGCCTTTACCCATGGAAAGTTGCATTCATCTAGAAATAGTAGGTAAGTAATCCTCCTTCTTTGATATACGTAAAAAATTAGTAGCTTAGATTTTAATAGATCGTCCTTCCCCTTTTTTTAATGTGTTGCATAGCAGTACTTGAAATAGTAGGTACTTTAAAAAAAATAATAAATAAAAAAATCCACAATAATTTATTTGCAGTAGGATAAGTAGGAAGTAAGAATAAATACAAAAAGGAAGAAAAAATGAGAGAAAAATATGAAATTATATTTAAGAAAATACTTTATATTAAATAAAGCTTTTTTTATTTGTTTAATTTAAATTTGCATTAAATATTTTCATGAGTGAGAAAATTTTTTATATTATTATTATCCAAAGATATATTTTATATTTCAATGTGCATCAGTCTAAGAGATGTAAAGAAATGTGTAGTGATATAAAATAATTGTTGCATTGAGTAGCATTCAAGTATTAATGCCTCAATGCAATTAATAATTACTTATTGCTTCAGAGTAAGCCTCTCAAGTGTTTCTAATGACAATTGTTAAAAATGACAAATCTCAGTACATTGATTCTAATATTTTATTTAGGAAACTGTAAATGCTATTTTTAACTGCCATTAAAATCCTTCAATGAAGGGGAGGACTTTCCCCCTGAAACATTGTGATATATATATGTATATATTAGTAAAGATAGATACATATAAATACAGAAATTATGCATTCAAATTATTTTGTAATCAGTGAAGAATGTAGAAAAAAAATTAAATTTACTGTTGAAGTCGCTTTTAATCAAGAGTTCGTTATCATTCACGTAAAACTTTGTTAAATTCACATTTGTTCTTGTTCATAGAATATGGAATGTGCAGGGAGGAAATGATTTTGACACACAGGACTGAACGACAATTCATTCAAAACACACCGGCATGCACAGGGTCAAGAGAGGATGCATAAATCAGTAGAATTCACAATGACATAAAAATTAAATTATAAAAGGTTCAAAAACAGTAAAAAAAATGACATGAATTCAGTACCAAACACCAATAACTGACTACTGAAATAAGGGAATTGCAATATATACAAGAAGTTGCAATTTATTAGTTTGCCTTTTTATGTGAAAAACTTTTTATATGAAGCTAATAAAACAGTTGAGGTTTATTTAATTATTTTTTCATTGTAAACTAAAGTATATTAATGCTGTTTTAATGTCATCATACAACACACACATTCACTATTTTAATTTGGACACACAGTTCTATTATTGCTTCAGAGTAAGCCTCTCAAGTATTTGTAATGTTTTTCTAATGATGTGCTATTTTTATTCTGTCAGAATGAGATTTGCTTCCTAATTCTTTTGCATCTGCTGTGTTCCTTTAAATATTTGCTTCATTTAATTTGAATTTTGGTTTTAAACTTTCAAGCTGGATGTAAATGATAGTTTTCCGAGTAATACATTATGGATGGAATATCTACCATATTTATCAAGGATGATGCAGTCTCAAAATAGCATTCCTTTTTAAAACTTGCCTTACAGCCAGTGTAATTAATCATTGAGAAATATGTGTTTGTGAGTGTTAGTTAAATCCTTATGAGTTTCACTGATTTTTCTAATTCCAGATATGAAAGGTATACTAAAATACTTATTTTTTAAATGAAATAACTTTGAAAATTATTGTCCATATTAAACTCTATCGAGATGGCTTTTCTGTTAGACAAAATAGCTGGATTTTTTTTCCAAATTTTTTGTTCGCGTGAAAAATGTATGCCAAATTAGTTCACACACAGCTCAGTTTGAATTTTATGGAGTCAAATTTTACATTGAAAATGCAGCAAAAATTCATGAATAATGCATTTAATGTCATTGAATCGTAGAAGAATAAGTTGGGCTGAACTGCCCTTTTTCATTCACAGGTAAGTAGAGCTTATGACATTGTTAATTTTTTAATAATATTATGCATGAAAATTTTATTATTCTTTCAATCATTGATCTGTCTTTGTGACAAGTAGCATCACAAGAACATTTATTGTGGAAATGTACTCCGATCCTATGTCGAAACAGTTCAAAGATTCAAAGTATGAGCAAAAACATTGCTACCACTTTTTTTATTTATTGCTGAGCAACTATATCATATCATAGTCATACACGTTTTTCAGAATTGTGGTTTTAGCAGTTGAGGTAAAATTTTGTCATAAAATGTGTCAAATATGCATCTTTTAATTTTGTGAATGCAGCAGCCAATAATTATTATTCGATCTGAAGAATCCATATGCCTTTAAAAAGACTTCTGTACTACTGATTTTACATTTTTAATAAGTGATTTTATCCTATTGAATTCAGTTAAAAGGTTGATAATCTTTATGTGAATTTTAAAAGACAGAATCAAACATGAAGTTGTCATAAACTTTACCATTAAGTTCTTAAATTCCAAGAAAGCTTTCATAGTTGTTTTTCAAAGTTCTTAATTATGATCCTGCTCACCATTTTTAGATTTTTAACTTATCTTCAGTAACCTTCTTTCAAGTTTTAAGGCTGTTACCATTTTTAAAACTGCCTAATTAACTCTGCTTCATATTTAGTTTCTGTGCATTGTGCATTCATTAATATTTTTTCTGCCTCCCCCCCCCAATTTTTTCCTCATTTTTCATTTTCCTTAATTTCAGATAGGTTGTTGTATGTTATACATGACACAGTGCAACTGTGTACCTTCTTCAATAAAGCAGTCAGGAAAGTATGGGAATCAGTACAGTTGACATAACCCTAATGAGTTGTAGCAAATAATTTGGTTGCGTGTACTGCTGGCAGCTGTGACTGTCACTGCACAAAGCAGTACTCTTTTAATTTAAAAAATCTGAAATTGAATTTCATATGTAATGGTTACTGGTAATTTTTCCTCCTGTTTTAAATGCAGAATCACTTCGCAAATCGACTGGAATGCTAACTATATCTGAATGTCTTATAAAATTATTTTATTTTGAAATATGTGATGTTTCTTGCTTCTAAATTCTCTATTCTTTCTTCCCTCTGTTTGCCATTAAATAATATTTTGCCATTAGATTACTACTGACCCTGACATACTTTTATATCAAGTTATCAACTCTGTGAAAAATCTGTCCATCAAAGAGTTGTATTTTTAGATAGTATCTAGATTTTAGTAGTTTTCTCTTTATAAAGTTCTAGCTTTAGCGATTACTTTTGTCAGATTAGTCGAGTTTATACTTGGATCTAGAATTTTGATTGGTGGATTCTGTCAGCATATTTTTTGGCATAGAGAATTCTTCATGCATTGAAATGTTATTTCCTGGTGGTTACTGTTTAAGATATTCATCCATATCTTTGTTTTTGCTATTTAAGTTTTTCTATATATTCAGTGAATTATATTATTAGCTTCAGGTGTATCAGAAGATTTTTAGGAATGTTTCTTATTCTTTTTCGTTCATCTTCACTTCTAGGCATTATGTGACAATGGAAAAGAAATTTTATTTGCATTCTAATATCATTTATTTAATCTAGTTAGATTTTGTGCCAGCATATACATTTGGTTGCTACATAGAGTCCATTAACTGAAAAGTACCAAACTAATATTATTTCTTGATATAACAGACTGACAGTCTGCTCTGGGTTTTGTCTTATATTTCCAATTTCTTGAAACTATTCCCAAAAGCATGTTGGAAGTAATTCAGTGATCTAAGCTACATCAGCTTAAGTTTGATGTACTTCTAAATCAATAGACTTTTGCATACCACTTTGGACTAACTCGTATTATTCATACGTTGCATTTGCTAATAAAAAATATTCAAAGCACATTAGTCATATTTTTAAAGTTAAATTAGTTTAAAATTCTTGTCACCTTTTATTTGCTGATGAAAACATGTTATTTTTTAATATCCTATAAACTATGCAAATGTGTGAAATTTGCTTCTTGATTCCTTTCTTTTAGTTTTATTACCATACAAACAGCTTATTATTTCATATTAAAGTTGCAAAATTCTTTGTTTGTTTTGAGTTGTGTAATCTAGATATAAAATTACAAAACAAATACAGTAAAGTGAGTGTCCAATTGAGAAGGAAATTGTCAACATAGATCATAAAGTAACAGCTTATGTAATAAATATTCAAAAGATTTATATATAAAACACATCAAGCAGAGTAATAAATAACAAACGTATGAACAGAATTTCGTGTCTTAACATTTTCAGGCTTGATAAAAAAAAAAGTTAATCTTATTTGTGCACATGAAAAATGTTTTCCATTTTGAGAACTGTAAATATGAACGTGAATTTCATTTTATTTTGCTAAAAGATAATACACAAAATACAAAATGGAATAATCCATATGTGGAGTTTTGGTAAATTTTGAAAAATTAAACAAGTGTGATAGCTCAGTAACATTTAAATTTCAAGCACTTAATACTTTTATTTAATTTGTGGAATTTCTTGTGGAAAACTTCATACTGATAAATAACTTTTGCTTTTAGTGGTTCGTTTAGATGGCACTAAACCTGTAAAATATGGCCTTCAACTTAACCATGATGATAAATATTTGACACTTAAACAAGAGTTAGGAAAGCTTTGTGGTTTGAGTGCTCAACAATTACTTGTGGCTGAAGTATCTGATGCTACTTTTAAGGTAAATCTTTATCATTAATTTAATAATATTGATTGCAGCAAATTTCTTAGTATTTTTTCCACTATTTTTCTGAGCTGTTGATTATCTCTTGTCTATAACAAATTTACATCAAGGCGCAATAAAGCTTCAAAAAGGCAAAAGAAAGGGAGGTGACTTGATTCATTGATAAAAAAATTATCAGGACTCTGCTGAATATGATGTAAATTAAGATAACATGTATTATTGAATAAACATTAATAATAACAATGACAATCAATAAATTAATAATGATCTTCGTTTGGTACCCAAATTGTTCTTGCTTTTTTTTATGTCCTATTTGATGAAGCGCCCACAAAGCGAAGACATACTCGAGCGGCATGCATTCATAAATTGCATGCGAAAAATGCATGGAATTTATGAATGGCCCTTGATAGTGTAAAAGAATGTAAAAATATCAGAAACAGTCTCTCCCCCCCAAAAAAAAATAGCAGTTATTTACATATATTTTTCTGTTAAAATATATGAAAGTTATATGTGAAATTTAGGTATATTCATACGAATAGTAGCATTTTATTGATAGTTTTTATATATAATATACATATATTTCAAGTCTTTACTTATATTTATTGCTCATATGCAAATCTTCCAAATTTTTTAATTCATATATTTTTAGATTATCATTTATCATGATTTTATAGAATTTACATTAATCTGAGTTTCATTAGAGTTGCCATCTTTGTTATCTGAAAATTCAATCTCGTTAATTTTTCTCAACATCTGAAATCATAGTTTCATTTCTCTCTGAAACTATATCAGACCAATCTCATTTAATATTGCCATCCTCCAGGAACTGCACATTTTTACAACCTTTTCTATTGCTGCCTGTTTCTATTCTATGGAAAACTAATGGCTACATAACACATGTACTCTCTAAAAAGAATGTGAAAATTTCAAACTACCTTAGGAATGCATTCTTAAAAGAGTTTCATTTATGCAGATGTTAGATCAGTAAAATTGTTTTCCTGTTGTGGAATGGATCACAACAAAATTTTACCTATCATCAGATATTAGTAAATATTTCAGTTTTTTTTTTGGGGGGGGGTAGGAGGAATCCTACGCCACATTATTAATAGAGTTGATAAATCTGGAAGATTATGACAAATAATATAAATAAGACTTTTTTTTAATGCATGAGCCAAATAAAATTTTTGGATTATATTATTTACATTTCGTAGTTTATAGAAAATAAATCATTCCCTGGCTTATTACAATTTATTTCTGTTCACTTTCATAAGCAAACAATAAAAATTCAAACAAATAATTTCAATAACTGTAAAACAGAAAATTCAAACACTTATCTCTTTGATGGTCTAGTATACTTTATGTCCTATTTACTGCAATTCACCAGGCTGTACTATTTTTTATTTTTAATTAACAAGGAAAATACCAACAAAAATTAAGACAATTCAGCAATAATACCAACAAAACCAACAAAAATATCAGCAATTTCTTGATTTTATATAAACATTCCTGTACATTTACAATTTTCATTTATCTAGATGTATCAAAATACAAGATCTAATAAAACATAATTAAAATAACTTGAAGTATTTTAGATTAAAGTACTAGCTTTTAAAAATAAATATATTTGTGCAATTCTAATAATTGATATAATACCAAGTTTTGACTTGAGAAATTATGTATAGAGGAACCTCAAGCTTTAGTAAACAGTAATAAATTTATTTAAAATGAAAGAGAAGCAAGAATTGTTACCTGAAAAGAATTATCTAATCCTTGCCACATGTTCTGTTCAAGTACTATAATAAAGCTAAAACGATGTATAAAAGAAATTAAGCGAACAAAACAAAAAAGAAACAGTTTTTCACAGACGATTGAGTATTTCTCATTCAATTAATTCAGTTCTCACTTCGCGACAAGCCAAAAATACACAAAAACTCAAAATATCTCTACTAAAAATTACTAATTATTAAAAATTAAGTAAATCTTAAACACTTATTTCCTCGAAAAAATTCCAGAAAGGATTAAGCATGATTTAAATCGCAATAATAAATAAAGGCGTTTATCTTTGTTGTTGTGAAGCTACGTTTCTCTAGATTGGCAACAAATCCACTAGTCTCCTGTTTCAAATGTAAACAAGCAATGGCCGCCATCAAAATAGGCTTAGCGGCACTTGAACAACTTTCAAATTGTTGATAATTCTAAAAATATTGCATACAGATTTACTAGGCATAAAACCCTTAACCGGAAGATAAAAACAACATAATTCAATCATTTTTAAAGCAAAAAATGTACAATTTACAAACATATAAGAGTAAAGAAACTGAGATCACTGAGCCGGGTAATAGAGTGGATATCTATATAAATATATTTATATACGTTTGGTGCTGCCGATTGAAACCAAAATACGAGGTGCACATCTACATGTTATAGTAGTCTTATATACAAAATTTCAACGTGCTGAGGGTACTTGTTTTTGAGTTATGCAAGATACGTTCGTACAGACGCCACGAAAAATTCTCTTCAGAATTCATTTTAAAGCAGTTTTTTAGTTTTTTTTCGGGGGGGGAAAGAGTCTTTTATTCTGTCCTTACGTACAGATATCACGGAAAAACATCATTAAATTGCATTCGAAAGCGGTCAATGTGGATATTTTCGTTGAAATATGCTGCCTGAAGCTTTTCGCGATTACAATACTTCCTTTTTACTAATTCGGAAGTCAAACAACAAAAATCAGCGTTATATTTACCAAATTTTCACAGGACTAGTTTCGATGGTTTTACGAACCACCATCTTCAGCTGCAAAACCGCAATGACCAGATAGGAAATAATGATAGATAAGATAAGAAAGCTGGACAAGATAAGCAAGTGCGCCATCTGTTTGGTGAAACCAGAACTAAACATATGTCTTTAAAGGCCGAAGGCAAATTTGGATTGGAATTAGGATCGTTAACTAGAACAGAAAGATTTTTGAATGTGAGATGCCTCTAGAAAATCCAGTTCTCCCATGGAAGATGTTTTTTGATTGTTTTTTGAATTTCTAGAGGCATTTCACATTCATAAAAATCTTTCTTTCTAGTTACGATCCTAATTCCAATCCAATTTGCCTTCGGCCTTTAAGAAATTATGTTTAGTTCTGGTTTCACCAACAGATGGCGCCACTTGCTTATTCTTGTCCAGGTTTCTTATCTATCTATCATTATTTCCTATCTGGTTCATTTGCGGTTTGAGCTGAAGATGGTGGGTTAAAACCATCGAAACTAGTCCTGTGAAAATTTGGTAAATATAACGCTGATTTTTGTTGTTTGACTTCTGAATTAGTATTTATTTGGAGTGTTATTGTGTCTTAACTTCCTTTTTACTTCGTATAAGGAAGTAAAAAGGAATGCCTTCATGAAAGACTGAAGGATAAGTTATTTATATATTTCAGTAATTACAACTGCATGAAAATTCAGTATAAAGAAATTAACACAGATATAAAACAAAACTACCTGTGTTTAATTACGTAAATTTTCATTTTTTAATAGCACAATGCTTGAGTTAAAGATTATGTATTAAGGAAAATTTATAAACTGAATCTAGAAGTGACAGATTAAATTATTTTAAAGGAAACATTTGAATTCAACAGATGCTGTTAATCATAATTTTTTTAGAATTTGTATAATATTCATAAAATTAATGAATGAAAAATAGTATGATGTTGATAGTTTTTATTAGTACATTCGGTTTTGTGCAATTTTCATAAAAATAGCATGTTTAAAATAGGATAAAGCATCAACGATATCTTCAGCTTTTTTTTGCTCTTATAACTTCCATAAAAATAATGGGCCAGAAATACCCTATGTTTTGCAAAATCATATGTATATATTTGGAGGCATGTTGCCTGGGAAGTGACTCATGCACCAGAAAGCAATGGAATGTTAGTGTAACCATTAAACTGCAGTAACGCAGCACGTGCACTCACAGCTGATCCACTGTGGAATAAAATTTAAGGTATCAGAGTAACTTGTTTCCATCTTTTCATATAAATTTAAAGTAGTCCTTTCAGTAGCTGCATCAAACAGACATTTGGGGGGGGTTACCATGAATGAGTGTACTGTCAAGCATTTGTTCCAAAAGAACCCTGTAGTGGGTGACCATGAGTGTTGGATGATGATGCACTGAAGGCATCCATAGAGGAGGACGACAATGAAACATGATGAACTTTCCAAACGTTTATTAGTTTCCAAGGGAACAGATTTCACCTACATAACACTGAGCAAGTGAGTACCTCACATATTGTCAGCAGCTAGCAAGGAATAACCATACAGCCTGTTTGTGGTGGTTGTGTTCAACACAACACACTCGTATTTTATCGAGTGCTCGTGAGTGATGAAAAATTGGTCCAGTTTGACACTGCCAAACATACCAGATGTTGATTATCACAGTGTGAGCCCTTTCCTCACACTTCGAGCTACCACTCTGCACCAATGCAAGGTTTTGCTGTGTGTCGGATAGATTAGTTGCAAAGTGGGTGATTTACTGCCACCAGATCACAACATCGCTGTGGAATGTACTGTCTGCAGTTGCAATGTGTGTAACGTGCTTTGCAGAAGAAGGTCCCAGGTTTGGTGAAACTCAAGGTTGTGCTGTATTTCATGATGATATGAGCCACATTTGGCAAGGATGACCAGGGCTAACCTTCAGTGACTTCGCTGGAAGATGTGTTTGCTGGACCTATCACACATAAATTACTACATATTCTGTTTCCTCAATCTTCGTGGGAAATTCTTCTACAGTGAAGCAAACCTGTGTATGCAGTCCCAGATTTCTTAGTATCCAAGACCCTGTTTATTGCATAGCTGCAGAAGCATTGGCACTGGTTCTAGATGTTGATGGGGATTATTTTGAGACCTAACTCTGAAATTCATGAGCAGTATGTTTATCTGTTTCTGACTATCAAGAACAACAAGAAGTTCTTACATTATTTTGTATATTATTTCCATAAAGTTTGAATGATTGAACAAAACTGGGAAATAATTTTAGTAACTTAGTGTCTTACCTGACATTGCTATTTTTTTCTTTTTGTTTAGAATGATGAATGTTTTATTTATTTATTTGTTTATTTTGCTCCAGAGCATTCCATCTGATGATCAAAGGATAAGAATTGTTGCTGGCAACAGTTTTTTTGCATATGAACTTTACACTCCAAGAGATTTTGCCTCTGAAGATGAGATTAGGCATCCCAGAGAAACTCACACCTTAACACAGATACAAAGAATGACTTTAACAGGTATTGGATGTATTTTAACTGTGCTTGTAAATGTAATTCACATTATTTTAATTGTTGATAGAGATGTATATATATATAGTGATCCCTCATTATTCATGGCTTTGATTATCCATGGTAAAAAAAAAAAACTGACGTAAATTATGAAAATGGGAGCTGAAATGCTGTGCTATTCTTCCTTTTCCTAAGTTCTAAAATCTTGCATAGTTTATCATTACTCACTCGTTTATTCTTTTATTTTAGCATTTTTATTGCTTGTTCATGTGGTTATTAACTTTTCACTTCCCAATCTTTCCAGTTATGACTAATCTGTGGGATGCTTCTGGGCAATTTTTCTTTTTTTTTTTTCACATAATAAGATATTAGTATATGTATTCCTCCCCCCACACACACACGCACTCTCTAAAATTTCTCCATTCTCTTAAATCTTTTTTTCTAATTCAGGAATGGTTGAAATTTGTTTGCTGTAAATCTTGAACTTTGCAAATCCAGAGATAAAAGTTAACATGTTTTTTCATGATTTATTGCATTATGTATTTCTCTAACTCACTGCTAACTGGGATGTGATTACTACAAAGTGTGCTTCAGAAAGTGTTTCTAAAGCAATTGGGGGGGGATAATGCATAATTTAAGTTCTGTATTAATTTTGTGATACCTTGTATTTTTTGTAAATGAGTAGAAAAATTAGCATTATATTTTATTCTGTTTAGTAGAATCTTCTCCGCCAAAAATCACAGATCTGAATTCCAAAAAGCTTCCTGCAGTAGCTGTAAATGGAGATGTTCCTAAATTATCTGAAGATCAAGAATCTGGAGATGGAACAGGAAAAGCAGTTTTCTCTCTGGGAGATTCTGATAATGACAGCATTGGCTCTCAGGGAGGTCAGGTGAGAAAGCATTTGCTACTAGGAAAGGGGTTAATAATAGAAAATTATACTTAATCATATTTGAAAACATATTGATGTATTTTTTAATTCAGTTTTTCCTTCTAATTTCACAAAATAGTTTGTAACAAAAAGCTTGCTGTAAAGAACAGCTACAGCATCTTTATTATTGAAATCATGCGATGCAGAAGGACTGAAAAAAAATTAAATTTAAGCTTCTCATAAGCAAAAAATGCCAGAAATGCATTCTAGTTATTAAACTTTAAATGTATATGTACCTGGTCTAGCATACTGTGCAAAAACTTGTCTGCCGCTACCCAATTTTCAGTTTTGCTCCCTGTATGAAAATCACCAGTTAAAATAAAACTTCAGGATGGAATAACTGTCTTGCACAAGAGGAAATGTTGTAAGAAATTTTGAAATCAATTGGTGTAAACTAGCTTTGTTTTAAAAATAAAAATATAATTGTATATATTGTTTATTTAGTCTTTCAAGTTATATATATATATATATATATATATATAAGATATATATATATATATATATATATAAGAAAGTGTCATCCCTAATATACACCATATAGTGTAACGTAAGTTTCTGAACAGAATAATTTGCAAAGAGAGATTTTCTAATAAAGAATTCAAGTAAAATTATTTAACAAACAATACAAAATATTAAGGAATTGGGAAGTACATAAGTTCACGTTTGCATTGGCAGCTATTTCAAAATATTCTAAGATCTATAAATCGACATCAATCACTTTTTAAATGTAACTTTTAATATGTACAATATTTACAGATCATAAATCAAACATGGTGGTTCAGTTGACAAATAAATCTATATGCTTTCATAATCGAAAATCGAAATCAAATAGGAACCGAAGTGTTCCTAATCAAATAGTGTGCGAACCATCAGACATCCATCTATCGAGCTGCCGGTGGAGAGTCTATGGAAATTCAGAAGGCACGTCGCATCGCGTTAACACGCAACGCTAGCGCCATCTATCAATTAATCAAAATAATTTCCACACACTCCCCACCTGAACTCTGTCAAGAGTTCACATTAATCTAACAACAATCAAATTTATATCAATAAGTATTTTAACATATAATTAAAAAACAATTGATAAGTATATTAAATGAATAGAAAATATATTCAAATTATAATCACTATACTAAATTCTAAAAAAGGTATGTTATCATCAAATACAATTTGACACTACTTTAGTAAATCTAAACTATTCTTAATCTAAACATATGAAATTAAACTAGTAAAATAAACAATTGCATAAAAAACATATTCAATCTTATTCATATTATTAAACAATAAAAAAATTTTTAAAGTTCTAAAGGATATTATAATTGAACTGGTCGTTTTATTGTTCCATCAGCAGTTTTTAGTTCACAAGAACGAACTTTGTTGTCACGACCAAGAAAAACGTTTATCACTCTACCACAATTCCAGAAAAGTTTGCACTTATTGTTGCCTTCAATTAATACAAGATCATCAACTTTTAGATCATCATAAACGTTAGGATTTTTTAATTGATGAGCTGTCCGAAGATCCATCAAATATTGTTTTTTCCATTTAGTCCACAATTGCCTAACCAATAAATCTTGATAAGTAGACTAGAAGAGAAACACGCTAATGTGACAATCAAAATCGTAAAAAACAACCTTATATTTAGCGTAGGTATAATGAAACACTTAATCGATTTCGAGGGCAGCTAAACGTCCCTCCTCATCAGGAGAAAGAATTACATAGAAAGAAAAAAATAGGAATCACAGAAACACGTGGTGCTTATCAGCACTGCACGCGGTTATAACTAGATTTTTAATCAGAGTTGCACTGGCCGCCTACTTTTACTGAGCCAGGCTGTCTGAACAAGCATAAAGAAATATTAGCGAAGTTAAAATAGGGAGCGAGGGGCAAATGCACATTACACTCAAAATCTGAACTTCAAATAATCTGAACTTTATTTGAAGTTCAGATTTTGAGCGTAATTTGCCCCTCGCTCCCTATTTTAACTTCGCTAATATTTCTTTATGCTTGTTCAGACAGCCTGGCTCAGTAAAAGTAGGCGGCCAGTGCAACTCTGATTAAAAATCTAGTTATAACCGCGTGCAGTGCTGATAAGCACCACGTGTTTCTGTGATTCCTATTTTTTTCTTTCTATGTAATTCTTTCTCCTGATGAGGAGGGACGTTTAGCTGCCCTCGAAATCGATTAAGTGTTTCATTATACCTACGCTAAATATAAGGTTGTTTTTTACGATTTTGAAATCTTGATAAATCTTTCTTTTGGTCAGAGAGGACTTGGTAGAGCCATCTTTAACAATGGAATTAAAGTTGATAGGTAATGTAGAATCTTTGTTTCCAAAAATCAAAAAATTGACTGGCTTTAGTGGCAACGGTTCCTTGTGGTCATTGTACACATATGTCAAAGGACGAGAATTCAAAACAGCTTCCACTTGTGCTAAAACTGTTGACAATTCTTCAAACGTTAGTAAAGCTTTACCGAGAATTTTTCGTAAGCACTCTTTCACTGATTTTACTAATCTCTCGTAGAAGCCTCCCCACCAAGCCCCTCGTTCTATTATAAACTTCCAACTGATTCTTTCATTCGACAGAAAATCTTGGAATTTCTCATTCGACAATAGTTTAGAGAAATGTTCTAGTTTTTTTTTTTTCCCCCTTTTTAAAAGTTTTCGCGTTGTCCGAATAAATTACTCGACAATTGTCTCTCCTATATGTGAATCTTTTGAATGCCATCAAGAAAGAATCTGTAGAGAGATTCGGTACAAGTTCCAGATGTATGGCTCTAGTGATAGCGCATGTAAATAATGTTAAATAGGTTACATAGGCTTTTTGACTTCCTTCAATGTTTTTTACGTAAATCGGTCCAGCAAAATCTATGCCAGATACGTAGAATGGTGGTGTCTCATTGATTCTGTCTTCTGGAAGTTGAGAAGTGGTCTGGTCAGCAGACTTCAATGAATATCTTTTACAAATAAGACAATTGTTTATTATTTTCTTGATAAATTGACGTCCTTTTGGAATCCAAAAGCGACTTCGAATTTCAGCTAAGGTCGTTGCTACTCCTCCATGCATCATTTTAACATGTGCACTTTCTACTATCAAATTTGTTAGCCAGGAGTCTCTTGAAAGAATTGCCGGATGTTTTTCATCATGTGACAAACTAGAATGTTCTAACCTTCCACCTGCTCTCAGTATCCCTTTCTGGTCTGAAAATGGGTTAAAAAGATATAAAGATGATTTCTTTTCGACTTTATTCGCTTTCTTCAGAGACTCGATTTCTTTGGGATAAAAACGTTCTTGTTCAGATCGAATCCAATAATTTTCGGCATCTACTATTTCTTCAATCGTTAATGCACCTGTCAAATGGTTTGTTTTCCTAATTGTACCGATGAATCGCTTTATCCAACCAGTTACTCTCAATAATTTTCTTAAATGACTATATTTTGAGATGTCTATTACCCTTTCTTCAACTGCTGTGCACACAAATTCATGAATATCATTAATGTTCTTGCTGTATTATAATTCTTCTTCAATGACAGGTTTCTCTTCATTCTGTCGAGGCCACAACTCAGACGACATTCTAAGCCATTCTGGTCCTTGAAACCAGATAGGATTGTTTTTCAAATCTGGAAGTTTAGCTCCTCTCGAAGCCAAATCAGCGGGATTACATTTACCGGGGCAATAATGCCAATTTTCTGGGGATGTTAAATTTTGTATTTCCTGAATACGATTTTTAACGAAAAGCTTAAATTTCTTTGCACAGTCTTTTATCCAGAAAAAACAAGAAGGTTGTAACTTCAAAACTTTATTGATGCTAGTGCCTAATTTGGCTGACAAAAGAGCTCCCATTAGTTCCAACCTAGGTAAGGTGAGCGGTTTTAAAGGCGCTACCCTCTAGTCTTTGAAGTCAACAAAAACCGTAAATATTTGTTCATTGCTAGAAATTTATACGCAGATACGCTACTGTACCATACGCCCTTTTTGCTAGCGTCAGAAAAACAAGTGCAGTTCAATCCTTTTCCTCACATCCTCACATTACTATTGACAATTGCAGAAAAATAATATCGTGGAATACCGATTTCGTCCAAATTGGAAACTTTCTTTGCACCATTGTTTTCCATACAGAACATAAATTTTCTGGTAGTTCATCATCCCAATCTAAAGCAAGTGTCCAAATTTGCTGCAATATGATTTTGACTCTTAAGTACAAACAGTGATAATAGACCTACAGGATCAAAAATTCGTCCTATTGCTTGTAGGACGAAACGTTTAGTATTAACTTGTTTTGAGAGAAATGTTATCAAATTTTTTACATCAAAGTAAATTATGTCACTTTGGTTGTCCCAAGCGACTCCTAACACTTTCAATGGAGGATTTCCAGCTTCCGAAACATGACTAGATTCCTCGGATTCGATACCTTCTTTAATCCATAATTCGCGCAGTTCTTGAGAATTGGTGTGCCATTTATGTAGAATCATACTAGCATCTCTAAAAATGCTGACGCATTCTAAACTGGTATTGAAAGCAAGTTCAACGTTTTGGTGTCCTCCAATGATGTCATCTACATAAATGTGATCATTTAGAAATTCGCAAGTGGCAGGGTAGGTTTTCTCATATTGTTTCAAATGGTGTTTAATGGTTGCAGCCAGTAAAAATGGACTGCTGTTTACACCAAATAACACACGTGTGAACTGATAAGTTATAAAATTTTGTGGATCATCGAATGGGTTTTTAGTAAACAGAAAACACGTTACATCTCTGTCCTTCTCATCTACTTCTATCTGAAGAAAAGCCTGCTTTATGTCACTTGTAAATGCTACAGGATGAAGCCTGATGGCCAACAGAAGTTCAAGAATGTCAGGATACAAATTTGGACCAATATGCAAGCAGTCATTTAACGAGATTTCACCAGGTCCATGTGAAGACGCGTCGAATACGATACGTAGTTTACTAGTAGTTCGATCA